GGGTCTGCAGGGGCGGTTCTCGGGCCTGACGGGCCTGCAGAGGCGGCTCGGGGGGGGCCTGACGGGTCTGCAGAGGCGGCTCGGGGGCCTGACGGACCTGCAGGGGTGGCTCGAGGGCGCACGAGGGCGCTCGAGGGCGCACGAGGGCGCACGAGGGCGCACGAGGGCGCACGAGGGCGCACGAAGGCGCACGAGGGCGCACGAGGGCGCACGAAGGCGCACGAGGGCGCACGAGGGCGCACGAAGGCGCACGAAGGCGCACTAGCAGAGAAAGGCGCACGAGGGCGCACGAGGGCGCACGAGGGCGCACGAGGGCACACGAAGGCGCACTAGCAGAGAAAGGTGCACGAGGGCGCACGTAAGGTAGGGCGCACGAGGGCGCTTCTAGCGGAATAGTGGGCCCGTAGTAGAAAGTGGTCCTAGGTAGCAACCTAGGCTCGTGATACCATGTTAGAATCTAGAATATAACGAGAATGGGTGAAACTAGGTAGGAGGGGGATACAAGTAGGAAACCCAAACAATGTTTGACACGCACTGCCCCTCTCCCTCCCCCGCCGCTTTTCCTCGCTCCAGGTCCCCCTCCGGTAGACCCCCTCCCCCCTCAGGGTCCTGCTCCTTCAGGTGTGTCTCTGGTAGACCCGCCCCTCGTGGCTGAGCCTGTAGAGGTCACAAGCGACTCCGGTGCTGCTGCGGGAGGTGCTGCTGGGGGTGCTGCGTCTGGGGGTGCTGAGCCTGCGCGTGAGGTGCTGGGGAGTGCGGAGCCTGGAGGTGCTGAGCCCGCGGCTGCGGAGTTTGGGGGTGCTGAGCCGGAGGGTGCAAGGTCGGGGGGTGCTGAGTCTGCTGGCGTTCCTCTGGGTCTCGTTTCACGACGCGGGCCTGTCTCACCACAGCAGGCATAAGAGTGGCTTGTGTCGTGTACCCGCTGAAGGAGTCGTGCTGCTGGAGCTGCTTGTCGTGGAGGCGCTGGGAGTGCTGGTGTCTCTGGTCCTGGAGGTGCTCGTACTGGAGGTACTGGGTCTGCCGGGACTGGTACTACTCCTGGGGGTGCTGAGCCTGCGGCTGCGGAATCTGGGGGTGCTGAGCCCGTCCGTGAGGTGCTGGGGGGTGCGGAGCCTGGGGGTGCTGAGCCTACGAGTGCGGAGCCTGGGGGTGCTGAGCCGGAGGGTGCCGAGTCGGGGGGTGCTGAGTCTGCTGGCGTTCCTCTGGGTCTCGTTTCACGATGCGGGCCTGTCACACCATAGCATGCACGAGAGTGGCTTGCGTCGCATACCCGCCTGAGGAGTCGTGCTGCTGGAGCTGCTTGTCGTGGAGGCGCTGGGAGTGCTGGTGTCTCTGGTCCTGGAGGTGCTCGTACTGGAGGTACTGGAGTTGCTGGGACTAGTACTGCTCCTGGAGCTGGAGGTGTCGGCTCTAGGGGTGCTGCTGCTAGAGGTACTGGGGCTGGAGGCCCTGGAGCTGGTGCTCTCGACCCTGACATTGGAGACCCTAGAGCTGGAGGTGCCGGTTCTGGGGGTGCTGCTGCTGGAGGCCCTGGAGCTACTGGTACTGGTGGCACTACACCGCCGTGACTGTTTTTCGCTCCGCCGTCACCGTCGTCTCTGCCACCGCCTGACTCCGTGCTTCGCCAGGTTCTTAGCCTCCCGTCTTCTACTGTCCTCCCGTTACAGCCCGGCGCATCACTGCCTGCTCCTTCTCCTTACACTGAGCAGACAGACTCGCTTACAGAGCGTCGTGAGCCTGCGTCTCGTCCTGCCTCGCCTGTTCGCGCGCGTCGCACTGGTAGTCGTGTTCCTCGTGAGCGTCCGCCTCCTGTCCCTGGCACGCACGCAATGGTACTTCGTCCTTCCTCTGTTCCACAGCGTGTTCCCCTGCCATCTCCTCCTGCGTCTTCTCTGCCTGACGTTCAGGACCCTGAGTCTGACCTGGTTCGTGCTGCTCACCCCACTGCCACGCGTCTGCTAGCCACTGTTGTCACTGACCCGTCGTTTGAGTCTGCTGCTGCGTCTGCCTTAGCCTCTGAGCTTGTTGACTTTGCTGCTGCCTGTCGTCTAGACTTCGCTGCTAGTCGTGTTGCTGAGTCTGAGTCTGTCTGTCCTCCGTCCGTCGGGGGTGAGTGTGCTCTTGGCACGGACGTCCTTGAGGACAGGCAGGAGGACTTTGAGTGTCTTATGGCTGCTGTACCTCATCTCGTGGCCATGCTGCTTGCCCCTGAGGGAGACCCGGATGCTCCAGACATCCCGACCTCGCGCTCTTACGCTGAGGCGATCGCGGGTGAGTACTCCTCTCAGTGGCAGACAGCCATGGACGCAGAGATGGCATCCTGGAAGTCCACAGGCACTTACGTCGATGAGTTTCCCCCTCCTGGGGCGAACATCGTCGATGGCATGTGGATTTTTAGGGTGAAGCGGCCGCCGGGTCCTCCGCCTGTCTTCAAGGCTTGTTACGTTGCACTAGGCTTCAGTCAGCGACAGGGAGTTGACTTCTTCCAGACCTTCTCCCCCACCCCGAAGATGACCACTCTTCGGGTGCTGCTGCACGTCGCCGCTCAGCGTGACTACGAGCTTCACTCTCTCGACTTCAGCTTAGCGTTCTTACATGGCAGTCTGTACGAGGAGAATCGGCTGCGCCGCCCACCTGGCTTCACTGGGTCGTTCCCTCCTGGTACCCAGTGGAGCCTCCGCCGGCCAGTCTATAGTCTCCGTCAGGCGCCTCATGAGTGGCACGACCCACTGAGGACGACACTTGCGGCTCTTGGGTTTGCACTTTCCACTTCTGACCCGTCGCTGTTTCTGCGCACCGACACTTCGTTGCCGCCGTTCTACATCCTCGTGTACGTCGACGACTTGGTCTTTGCTACTTCTGACACTGAGGGACTCGCCCACGTGAAGTCGGAGCTGCAGAAGAGACATACGTGCACAGACCTGGATGAGCTGCGCAGCTATCTTGGCTTGCGGATCACCCGGGACAGAGCACAGCGCACCATTACTTTGACTCAGTCACACATGGTGCAGCAGGTCCTTCAGCGCTTCGGCTTCACGTACTCCTCGCCTCAGCCCACTCCTCTGCCTACTCGCCACTCGCTCTCAGCTCTGCCTTCGGATGAGTCCGTAGAGTCGAGTGGCCCGTATCCAGAGCTTGTGGGCTGCCTCATGTACCTGATGACCTGCACTCGACCTGACCTTGCATACCCTCTTAGCATTCTGGCACACTATGTTGCTCCTGGGAGAAACCGGAAGGAGCACATGGATGCCGCTAAGAGGGTGTTGCGCTACTTGTGCAGTACGTCGGGCATGGGGCTCGTGCTTGGAGGACAGGCTCGAGTTGTCCTCACTGGTCACGCAGACGCTTCCTGAGCTGACGACTTGGCTACGCAGCGGTCGTCACAGGGTTACACTTTCAGCCTCGGCTCCGGCTCTGTTTTGTGGCGGTCTACCCGCTCGTCTTTTGTTCTCAGCTCCAGTTGTGAGGCTGAGATCTACGCAGGGGCCATGGCTGCACAGGAGTTACGCTGGCTCACCTACCTGCTGACCGACTTGGGAGAGAGGCCTCGTTCTCCTCCAGTTCTGTACGTGGACAACAAGGCTGCCATTGCCTTGTGTCAGGCTCACAGACTGGAGCACAGAACGAAGCACATCGCTCTACGTTACTTCCTTGCTCGAGAGTTGGAGCAGCGTGGTCAGCTTCGTGTCGCCCACGTGCCCACCCGGGCGAACACGGCTGATGTGTTCGTCAAGGCCCTTCCGGCTGGTGATCATCAGCGCTTCTGCACTGCTCTAGGCCTGGTGCCTACGTTCCTTCACTTGCTGTAGACTTTGGTTGTACTGTGGTCTATATATATCTACCTGCATGTTTTCTCTTGCTAGGTAGTGATCACTGTACTGTTGTTGTTGCATATATACGTCTGCATGTGAACTGGCCTTGTGGCCCTTTTGCTTGTGCTTGGAGTGTGTGGTGACGTTGTGATCCACACTGAGCTTGCATTGCTTTTCTTGACTGGTCTTGTGACCCCTTGTTCTCCCCCAATTTGCCTATGGGGGTGTGTCAAACTATATATATGCTATGGTATAATGGGTAGGCTATAGTGGAGCCAACATGGGGTACAACCCCTTTAGGTTTTGTACTTGTACCAACTCTCTCGATAGTTTACACCATTCCTGCTTGTTAATTCTTAACAGGTTTTTCCTTACAATAATGTTGCCGCATAGTTGCAGTAACAGGAAACCACATATGGTTTCAAGAAGATAATTCATTCGTCAATGTATCACGAAGAGACATGGTTTGGCAAACAACACTATGAAAGCAGCTACTTATTTGCACAGAATCTTCCATCGAAACAATCAAGCCTCATGTTTTTAGTGAATGAGAACTAGTGCACTATTGTCCACCTCCTTCAGTTGTCACCCCCTCGCTTTGGCCCTCTGCCTGGCCAGGGTCCTGCACCCATGGGATGAGACCAGGTTGCACTAGCGTATGCCATGGTCATGCCACCATTAGTCGAAACATCTTAGTATACCCTAGCAAATTTCAGAAACGGAATGTGCATAACTGTGAGTTGGGGTACATATACCTAACCCTAACAACTGTACCCCACATGACATGCCTCACTGCAGGCTACAACTTTTGACAGAAAATCACCAAAAGCCTTGTTGTTGACAATAAGCATATCCACGTGCCCTTGAAACGTGTACAAGCTCGTACCAGTTTCTCATTTCGAAGTCATTGGCAGTTAAGCCCATGCAACGATCCGATATGGCCTGAACAGATTCCTAACCTTCAAAACTGCTTGCATACAGACAACCACGAACAGTCATCTCGTAGCATATATCACAACGGTTCCTAATCCCATACTGAGAAACACAAGCAAAACATGCTGGTGAGAGCATGGCACCAGTCACATCACATTGCCGGGACGGCAATCTCATCGGGCGGCATATCAGGCACTACTCCTGCTTCGCTGCTCAGTTCTCCTCCATTGCTCCCCCCCTGCAGCCACAAGCTCACTACAGCTGTGAGAAGCAGCACAGAAGCATCAAAGTTTTGGGAAAAACATCAGCGAAACCAGAGAAAAGGGAAACTGCAACGATAGCATTCCACCACCCTCCACCCTTTAACAGCATCAACCGTTGAGTCGTGAGGAGTGGTAAGCATTTACTAAGCCCGGTCCACACCCCTAACTGCGTTCAGAAAAGCCCACCTTTTTTTGGGAGGGTTCAGTAGACCGTTGAGGCCAGGAGTTCAAATCGATCATGCCCCCTCTGCCTTGATTCCCCTCCTCTCGCTTTTGCTGCTGCTGCTGGTGTTGCTGCTGCTGCTGTTGCTGTTGCTGGCGCACGTGCTGCTGCTGATACTCGTGTGCTTCTACAGCAGGTGACAACAACGCAGGGATCTCATCATCCCCCACCGCTATAGCAACAGCAGGGGCGTCACTCACGTTCCCCATAACCATGCTCCGAGCCCCTCCCTCCTCGCCTCCTCTCCCTGCCCCACCACCACCAGCTCTCCTAACCCCCATCCCCACCCCTACCCCCATCCCCATCCCACTCCCTAGCCCGGTCCCTGTCACCGGACCCAACCCAGCAGCACCAGACCGCAACTGAAACAACCCATTTCCGCCCATTGTCCCTGCCCCCACCCCTCCCCTTGCGCCTACTCCCACCTCTGCCCTTTCCTGAACAGCACCCCCACTGCCCCCCTCTCCCCCACTCCCCCCTCCCCCCACGTTCAAAGTCAATGCCTGCATTGTTCCCGTTGCTGTACCTGTCAACCCCCCCGACCCTCCCCCTCCCCCTGTCCCTCCCGCTCCCCCTGCCCCCCCCCTTCCTCCGCCTACCGTCACCCCTCCTCCACCTCCTCCTCCTCCTCCTCCGCTTCCTCCCCCCCCCCCCCCTTGCTTCTCCGCCTCCTGTTGTCCCGCCTGACCCTCCCTCGCCCCCATGGGTTGGGAGCACCACACTCATAGGGGTAGGCTCATTGTTCTCCCTTCCCCCCGTCTCCCCTCCTTGCTGCATGTGCATTGTCTCATCCTCTTCTCCTCTTCTTCTTCCCCTTCCTCCTCCTCCCATTTCACCATCCTTACCAGCAGCAGCAGGAGCAGCAGCAGCAGCGCCATCACCAAAGCCACCAAAACCAGCACCATTGTCAATTCCTCTTCCTCCCTCCCCCTCCCCACCCCCTCCTACATTCGCCCCTTCATGCCACATACCACCCTGCACGTTCCCTTGACCTGCCCCTCCATGTCCCTGACCACTATGCATATTATTCCCCACATTCCCGTTCCCCATGTTACCCATGTGGTTACCAGTAGGGTTACCAGTCGGGTTACCACCCCCACCCCCTCCCTGCGCGCCTGGGCGGTTGGCTGGGTGGTCCGGAGCCCCCCCCCCTGGGGAGGGGAGGGGGGGCTGGGTGGGGTCCTCCAGCGGAGCGGGGGGCGTCTTGGGGAGCTGGGGGGAAGACGAGGGGGAGGGGGACGGGAGGAGAAAGGGGAGGAGAGGGGAAAAAAAGGGAGTGGAGAGGGCTGAGTGTAGGGCGGGCTGGGGGGGTCCTCCGCCAGAGCGGGGGGCGTCTTGGGGAGCTGGGGGGAAAAGGAGGGGAGATGGGGGAAGAGGGGGGGATATGGGGGAAGAGGAGGAGAGATGTGGGAAGAAAGGGGGGGAAGGGTGGAGGGAGGAGAAAGGGAGGGAAAGGGAAGACAGACACGTGGAGAAGAGGGGTGGGGGGATGGCGGGCTGAGTGGGGTCCTCCGCCAGAGCGGGGGGCGTCTTGGGAAGCTGGGGGGGAAAGGTGCGGGAGGGGAGGGGAAGAAGGAAGGCGGAGAGAGGTGACGGGGAAGGAAAGGGGACAAACAGAGCGCGGAGGGAAAAACGAGAAGGGGAAAGGAGTGAGGTGAGGCGGGATGGGGTTACCACCCCCACTTCCCCTTTGCAGGCCTGGGCGGAGTAGATGATCCGGAGGCCCCCCTCCTGGGGAGGGGAGGGCGGAGCAAATGATCCGGAGCCATCCCCCCCCCATCCGGGCCTGGGCGGGGGAGGGGAGGGCCTTCTGACTGCAGTCAAGAGTCCATGGATCCAACCACTTGAAGACTTTTGAGGCGCCTCAAAAGTCAAAACTCAAATTTTGAGGCGCCTCAAGAGAGGAGGGCCTTCTGACTGCAGTCAGAGTCCATGGATCCAACCACTTGAAGCCACTCCGACTGTTTCTGATCCCTTTCTCATAAGAGATATCTCACCTCCACGCGTTGCCCCATGAGCAGGTATCGCTCATGTGCCTTCTTGCCGCCTATGTGCACATCCAGGTCAGATAAACCTCTGAGTGCACCTCGCGGGTCAATGAGCCCCCACCCCCTGACAGCCCCTCACCTCCACGCGTTGCCCCATGAGCAGGTATCGCTCGTGTGCCTTCTTGCCGCCTATGTGCACATCCAGGTCGCACTGCAGACAGAGAGACGTGCCGTCCACTGCACAGTAGAAGAAGGCTGCAAATGAGATTGCGGGGAGCGGGGGATGGGGATGGGGAGAGGTGTTTGTGTGGATGGCGAGGATTGAGCGTCCCTATGTTCACGTCCAGGCCGCACTGCAGGCAGAGCGATGTGCCGTCCACTGCACAGTAAAAGAAGGCTAAGAGAGAGAGGGTAAGGGGGGGGGGGTAAGGGGGATTGGAGGGGAGGATGGGGAGGGCGTGGATGGGGAAGGGACAGGTCGCCTATGTGAACGTGGAGGTCGCACTGCAGGCACAGCGATGTGCCGTCCACTGCACAGTAGAAGAAGGCTGCGAGGGGAGGGGGGAATGGGGACGGGGATAGAGGGGAGGATGGGGAGGATGGGGGCGGAGCAGAGGGCCAATGTGGTACGTCGAGGTGGCACAGCAGACAGAGAGACGTGTTGTTCACAGCACAGTAGAAGAAGGCTGTGAGGGGGAGAGGGAGGATGGGATTGGGAGGAAGGGTAGGATGGGGGGGATGGGAAGGATGGGAAGGATCGGGAGGGGAAATCAGCCTATGAGCACGCCGAGGTCGCAGAGCACGCAGAGAGACGTGCCGTCCACTGCACAGTAGAAGAAGGCTGTGAGGGGAGGGTAGGCGGGAGGGGAAAGGGGGATTGGAGGGGAGGATGGGGAGGATGGGGAGGGGGAGGAGAAAGAATTGGCAGGGAGGGGGGGAAGGGCCGGGGAGGAAGGAAGGGCTTAGATTTGGACTGTCCGTGGCAGAGGGGCCAACAGACACTAGAAAGTGGCGTCTTATGAGGGTGTATCGTGCACAGTTCTCTATCAATTTGTTACGTGACTTCAGAATTGGCATTTAGAAAGAGTACATGCATAGTTTTCTGTCCATGTCGTTCAGTCTCCACATGCAGCCTCCATCCCCTTTCAGCATCCCTTCCCCAGTCCTTCACCAGGAGCGTTCTCGCAGATGTCACAGCAGGGGATGGCGCACGCCCCTGTATTCTAGTAGCCCGCCACTCACCAGCCCCGCCATAAGCAGCCACTCAGTCCCCTTAATAGCCCTCCCTCCCCAACGGCTACTCACCAGGGGCGTTTTCGCAGATGTCACAGCGGGGGATGGCACGCGCCTCTGCACGCTATACTCACCAGTCCCGCTATAAGCACGTTATTCAGCCCCCTCAAAAGCCCTCCCAGGGGCTTATAAGGCACTCACCAGGCGCGTTCTCGCAGATGTCACAGCGCGGGATGGCACGCGCCTCTGCGAGTTCTAAGCGCACATGGCGGCTGGCGAGCTTGTTGCACCCATGAACCTGATGGTGGGGAGACATTATGGGGGGAAATGGGGAGGGGGGTTGAAAGAGCAAGTCAGCAGTCCACGCTGAATGAGAATTGAGAGGAGTGACTTGTGTAATGTGCGCTTTCACTTGCGCCGTTCAGAGCAGCACTGACTCAGTGGTTAGTACTACAAGTAGCGTGAGTTTCGGGTTACCTTGTTGTCGCAAGCCAGGCAGAGCGCTGCTTCGTCTGCAGCGCAGAACACCTTGGCGGGCGCTGCCTCGCACACCTCACACAAGATGCACATAGAGTCGACTCAAAAATCACGAGCAGCCAGTGTAAACGTACCTTGTTGTCGCACGCCAGGCACAAAGCAGCCTCATCAGCAGCGCAGAACACCTTGGCGGGTGCCGCCTCGCACACGTCGCACAGGATGCGCATTGCTGCTTGCTGTCACTGCCTCAGGTGGGTACTCCAGCCCAGCTGCTGTCCGCTCCTGCCGGTAGGTGCTGCGGATGGGTGCTGCCTGTCTGCTGCCGGAACCTCGCTGAATTGAGAGCTCCGGCAAGTGCAGGTTCGGTGTGGCACAGCCTGCGGGCGCAGGCTCGGTGTGGCACAGCCTGCTGGTCAGGATCGGTGTGGCACAGCCTGCGGGCGCAGGCTCGGTGTGGCAAAGGGCGCTGGCCCCAACAACCGCTTTTGGTAACCTCACGTTGAGCTCGAGTTAGGTGAGTACGTGCTGCTGACTGGCGGTTGTTCGTCCTAGTAGTGTCAGAGCCCGAAACCGAAATTTCCCCTTGAGTGTTCGTTAGAAGCAGGTGTTGCTTAAAAGCAGAAGCGGGAATATCAGAAGCGAGAAAGGGGTGTTACTTGGAAGCAAGTGCTATTTAAAAGAGACAGCCGAGGCGTGCACGGCGGGTGCGTGAGGCATTCTTGAAGGTGGCTCTAGCAGGCAACATTACTTCAGGAAGGCGAGAGGAAGGTAATGAACGAAGGAACTAGGTGGAGGGGCCATGCTGAGTGCACCATTGTGAGCACCAGTGAGAAAGGCGGCTTGTCAAGAAAGTATACTACTTGATGAATTATATGAGAAAACTATTTGGAAGAGCAGGAGATATTACGCCGGCCGAACAATCACACAGCAGCAAGCGGGGGTACTTCAAGAACCCGGAATTTCTGGAGTCGAATACGTGTACTAAGCGGCAATGAATGTCCGCAACATCTCACTGCACTCATGGTGGCGAATTGGAAGGGAAAGAAGTCGCGAATGGTCGTTCAAGAGCCTTCTTGTCGCATGCTTCGTCGCATTGGTCGCATACTTGCGGGATATGGTGATCGCAAGGGAAGGACGGTCAGTGGTTTGTTTCTCGGAATTGAAACGCGGGATTCCCGATTTCGGACTTCAGATTTCTTCCAGGCTGTCAAAGCCAGCGCATGCTCGCGTTGACGCGCCCTAAACCGCGTGACAAGGGCATCCGTGAGTTAAATAGGAGGGCATGTGAGTGGAAATTCTTGGTTTATACAACCTCCTAGGCTGAAACCGGCCCTTTCAGAAGCACAGCACAGTCAACCTCGGTCACTTGGCATTAGAAAGAATCCCACCGGGCGATGAGGAAGGACGAGACTAGTGGTCTAGGAAAACGCTGCCTTGAAAGTGACGTGGATTCACGTGAACGCTGTGCTGTACAGGAACTCCAAGTGGGAAATTGGAGGAATTCATTAAGGATTGGCTAAAATTGAACAGCAATGAGAAGGTGACCCGCTGTAAATCTAAGAAGATCGGCTGGTACGCGAAGGCTGTGGCTGAGCTCGAGTGTCTTGGATAGGGTGCAGCTATGGCGGCTTTGTGATGGCTAAAATCATTTCTGTGGTTGAGAGTCACCCTTGAGAGCATCAGCACAACACGGCAGCATCAGGGGGAAGAGCTTCCAAGGGTAAGTTTACCCATTAATGGAAAAGATTTAGCGGGCTGGCTCCTTACATACTCTCCCACTTACGAGACTCATCGAGAGTTGACGGGTGAGTATATGCTGCACGCGACTGCGGTTGTATGCTTCTACAGTGTTCCCTCTAGCTTACCACGGGGCGTTTGAACTTTCGTCTGCCTTCTAAAGGGCCGAAGCGTCTTACAGGGTGCAGATGAGCCACGAACTTTGGCGCGAGGCCAATCTAGTTTTGAGGGTTGACGTTGTGCCACGCTGGCTTCAAAGCATCACCACATCTCACCCGTGTTTTCCGCAAAAGAGTTTTTCGCCTTTCAAAAAGGCAGTCAGAAAAGAAGACGCGGTATAGTTTGACCTGGAGATTGATGAACGAAACGTGCATATGTATCGAAAGCTAACATAATTTGGAGACTTGAGACACACTATCCAGTGGGTTATCCAGAGTTATCTAGAACCAGTTAAAATGCTAAAAATTACCCATTTTATTTGAAGTATTGAATTTTATTGGGGTCTCAAATTTATACATGTATACACATGTAAGCTCGTCTGAAAGGATAGGAATGTCGAATCTACCTTGTATAGCAGATTTTACTCCTGACCGTGTCGGTGCAATCCGATTGGTGCCCTTCCCCTCTGTTTGTGCTTTATCGGAGATTTCGAGGAATACCGCCGAAAAGATGCTTCGGTAGCAGACCCTTGCTTGCATGCACTGCATTTTCATTGCATCAAGGAAACGAGCAAAGCGGCAGGAACTACACCTGTAAACTGACAACCATCCGTCGTTCCGCAAAATCGGTGCTGTTGAGAAGGCTTTCCTTGACGCTTGACGTTTCCATTCATTCTCGTTCTCCTCTGAGCTTTCCTTCTCTTGGCCTTTTCTTGTCGTTCCTTCCCTGCAATCCGCCCTAGCCGACCAGGTGTAGATACGCCTTCAGGTTGCGTGCATGACATCGAGAGAGTTCAGTCAGTTTCGTCGTGCGACCCGACCTGGTCGGTGCTCTGCCACTTGGCGAAACAACCGCGTCTGTCCTTCCCTGATTGGTTCCTCAAGTATCGAAACACACAGATTCGCAATGTTTACTGGAACGCAAGTATCAACCAATGCCGAGCTCCGATCATCATGACACGGTCCAAACATCCTCCGGCACAGAGTCGATACCAGCCTCAGCCCTTATCGCGACCTTTTTTTCTGCAAGTTAGACTGTCTGCGCTACTTTCTGCGTAGGCCAGCCTTCGGTTTCTCAAGATACGAACGTTGCTTTAAGTTCCGATGGAGGAATTCGCACATTTCAAAGGATGAAACACCGCACTACTCGAATCTCCTTCCTGCCGTCTCCATGACGCTATCCTCCTGCGACCGGCCCCTTGGGGACATCACTGCTCCCCCTAAAATCCGCTCCCGTGCAGCTTCGAGGAAGGTGCGAGCCCTACCGCACTCCTGGACGGGCTCATTGCTATTCAGCAGCCATCATACGACACCTGAGATACGCAGTACTCATCGGAAACCAGAGAGAAGTCAGGGCCCGGAAATCACGGGAAAACACAGGCCAGGCGGACAACAGAGACTAGAGACTCTGACGGTGGGAGGCAGCTTAAGGAGTGTTTCTGGTCTCCGCAGGCCCAGGCATGAAGATTCCGGCACTTGTTTTGGTCCCTCACGCACTTTTTCTGGTCCATCAGGCACTTGTTCTGGTCCATTGTTCGTGAGTAAACCTGGTAACTCAGCTCGCCATGCGTTCACCAGTTTCGCCACGTCAGCAGGCCGAGGGAGGCAGAGCAAAAGAGCTCGTTTCTCGGTTTCCGCCCTGTCTGCTGATTTCTCCGCTGGTGCTGGGAGCATCAGTGACACTTGGCACGTCGTGATAGGACCGGTTGCGCATACTCCGGATGTAGCATTAAACGTGGCAACGGCTGTCGCACTGGATTTGGCACTAGATTCAGTGGGTGGGCTGCTTGTGGGTGCGGCTCTGGCTCTTGCAGGCTTTGCAGTTGGTGCCGCTGTTCGTGGCAGTGGCTCGCTTGGTGGTGCTGCTGCTGCGGGTGCTGACGGTGATGGTGATGACGATGATAACGGTGCTACAGCTACTGCCTCTGCTGCTGTGTCGGCCGCAACCTCTGCTGCTAGCTTTGGTCCCTTGAGATCAGATGGTGTGGAGCAAGAGGGGGAATATGGACTGGAAGCTGGAAAAGAGGCGTTCAAAGATTTCAAAACAAAGTCATTTCGGGGGATGAGAAGGGAACATGATGTAGAGTTTGTCTTGCTGCCCGAGTTTGACGATAGCGGCCTCCAGAGATATTTTCTGGCTCGGTGCCCGTCTCTTCCCCCTGCTAAAGCACCAAGCATGATCTTCCAAAAACAGCCTGACAATGCTCCTGCTGTGAATGATGATGAAATTGATGGGACTAGCGTAGGCAACGGAACGGCCAAGATTGCGGTTGAAGAGACTGCCGAGGTGGAAAGCCTAGGATTGCAACAGCGGATGCCACTGCTGGACTTTCAGTCACCTACACCACGGGAGGGTTCTGACGAACATAAAGAGCTAGCCAATGAGAGGGAGATCCCTGGGTGGCAAGTGGAGGGCACAGCAACGCAGAGACAGCTTTCAGGGCAGCAGCAGCTGGATGGAGCAGCAAGCCAGAGGCGGTTATTTGGGCGGCACTGCATCTCCACGCCAGATGGCGGGACTTTATCCCTGGATTTCCTTAGAAACTGGCCCTTGGGATTGTCGCAGCCCTTGGGATTGTCGCAGCCCTTGGGATTGTCACAACCTTTAGAACGACATCAGGTGCAGCAGCAGCAGCGGTTGGGCCTGACGGAGCAGGTTGGAGCAGGCGAGGGCATGGTGGTGCTGGTGGTGGCAGGCACGGCAGCAGGCTGCGCGGACCCCTTCATTCAGCGCCTGGCGAGCAGCATTGCTGCTAGAGGTCATACCCCCGTGGTGCTCAATTTGAGAGGCTGCGGTGGCAGCCCCGTTACATCCCCACGGTGAGAGCCAGTTTGCTTGGACGCGTGAGTGTGAGATTCCTCAGTGAGGCACTGCTGTTGGGCGTGAGGGAGAGGAGAGTCATCGGTGCTAAAGGCCATGTCATTCCTGTTTCCTTGATCATCCCCCTGTCACTCCCCCTGTGACACCCCTTGTCACTCCCCCTGTGACTCCCCCTGTGACTCCCCTGTGACTCCCCTTGTCACTCCCCCTGTGACTCCCCATGTGACTCCCCCTGTGACTCCCCCCGTGACTCCCCCTGTGACTCCCCCCGTGACTCCCCCTGTGACTCCCCCTGTGTCTCCCCCTTGTGACTCCCCCCGTGACTCCCCCTGTGACCCCCCCTGTGACTCCCCCCGTGACTCCCCCTGTGACTCCCCCTGTGACTCCCCCCATGACTCCCCCCGTGACTCCCCCTGTGACTCCCCCTGTGACTCCCCTTGTGACTCCCCTTGTCACTTTCCCTTATTTTGTTATCGCATTTACCACTCCCCTTGTCTCTCGTCGTGGTCCCTTCATCCCCTCCTGTCTACTTCCCTCCTTTCCCCTGTCCTTCCCCTTCACCCTCCCTCGTGTCTCCATACCTCCCCACCCTTCAGCTTCTTCTCACCAGCTGACAGCGCGGACGTGGCACTGACAGCCAATTTCCTCGCAGCTGCCTACCCGGATTCCCTGCTAGTGGCCGTGGGAGTCGGCTTGGGGGGACATGTGTTGCTGAGGCACCTGGGGGAAGCAGGGAGGGGGGAGAAGGGGGAAGAAGGGGGCCCGGGGGAAGCAGGGAGGGGGGAGAAACGGGGGCCGAAGAGGAGGAGGGGGAAGAGAAGGAGCGGAAAGGCAAGTGGGGAGCTGGTGGATGGCTGGGGAGGGGCTGGGCCTGGGGGAGAGACTGGTGGTGGGGCTCAGGGGAGTTTCAGTGGTGGGTTGCTGAAGCAAGGCGATGGGGTGTTGGAACAGGGCTCGGGGCACAGGGGTATCGAAGCGGCTATTGTGGTTGACTCGCCCTCCTGCTTGCATCACCACCATAGCCACCCCAACCATCTCTGCCCTGACGAGGAGGAAGAAGTTTCCAGGAAGATGGCCCAGGATTACCAGCATCTCCTGCGCACGCATGAGGTTGTGCTACTTGCCCTCAACACCCTTCCCACACACTCCCCACTCCCCACTCTCCACCCACCAGCCTTTGACCCACACCCTCTCCCACCCACACTCCCCTCCAACCCACCTCCATCACTCCCGCATTCCACAGTCATTTATGCGTATCTCCTCTCCCTGCCATATGGTTGGGTGAGTGGAACCCATTCATCACACGATGCATCGTTTTCACATGTACATGGCTTTAGATGTCTCAAAAGTACATGGCATCCTCTTCATACAGGAAAGTCGTAACTACCAATGCTCGCCTTCTCTGCCACACTCCCTTTTGAGGCGCCTCAGAAGCCATCCATCATACGATGCATCGTTTACACATGTACATGGCATCCTCTTCATATTGGAAAGTCCTTAGTACCAATGCTCGCCTTCTCTGCCCACCGTCGCCCTCCTCAGATGATATTTTCTGACGCGTGGGGCCCTCACGAGCCTTTCGACCTGTCAGCAGCGCTGGCAGCTTCGTCGCTCAGCCAATGGGACGACGCCGTGTCACGCCGTGCCCTGGGCTGCGGGTCGATCTCAGCGTTTTATGCTGCATGCTGTGCGTGTGGTGTGCTGGAGCACATGTCCGTGCCCACTCTGTGCGTGCAAGTGAGTGGGTGAGGTGGGTGGGGTGATTGGGTTAGCTGTTAAGTATTAGAAGACTCATCATGTCCGCGTTTTGCGATGCGTGCTGTGCGTGTGGTGTGCTGGAGCACGTGTCCGTGCCCACTCTGTGCGTGCAAGTGAGTGGGCGGGTTGGGTTGGGTCTTGGGAGGGAGGTATTGCTGTGGTTATTGCTGTGCGTGTGGTGTGCTGGAGCACGTGTCCGTGCCCACTCTGTGCGTGCAAGTGAGTGGGTGGGGTGGTGGATTGGTGGGTTGGTTATGGGGAGTAATAAGAAACAAATCATCTGCCTTTTATGCTGTGTTCAGTGCGGGGTGCTGGAGAATGTAGCTGTGCCCACTCTGTGCGTGGAAGTGAGTGGGTGGGGTGAATGGGGTGGGCTGGTTTCTGCGTGATTTACAAGCAAAGTGTCAATGTTTTTGCGTTGCATTTTGTGCGTATGGTGTGCTGGAAGCAGTGTAAGTCCCCCACTCTATGCGTGCTAGTGAGTGGTAAAGAGGGGGAAGAGTTTGGACATTGCACAGGAATGGGTTTCAGCTGCATCCCAGCTCTCGCCCCTCCCATACCTCACGTGCTCCTTCTCATGTGGGCTCTTTGTTGTGTGTTCTGGTTCGTTTCTTTGAGCAGAGAGGGAGTGTAATTGCAGGGAGCAGCACTGCATGCGCCACTGCTGTTCCCTCCTCGTCCTCTTCCTCCTCTGAGCCTTCTGTCTGGCGGCCCTTCCTCACCAACTGCAACCTCTCTCTCTGTGTGTTCTCCAACACAAGAACTGTTTCGAACACTGCTGCTGCCGCCGCTGCTGCTACTGCTGATGGTGATTCTCCTAATGGTCCCGTTGCTGCTGCTGCTGATGGTGATTCTCCTAATGGTCCCGTTGCTGCTGCTGCTGAAGGGATCAGTTCGTCTGTTCCTCTCTCTTCCACTCATGCCTGGGCTCCTGATTTCACCAACCGTGTGCTGCAAATCGTGGATGAGGTGGTACTGCATCGTACAGGCCAGCCAGCCAGCCAGCAGCCGCTGTTTCCCAGTTGGCATGCCGTGGTTGAATTGAACCTGCTTGTAGCGCATCGTACAAGACCAGCCCTTGCATGGAGGGAAATGAACATACTTTTGAGGCACCTCAAAAGTACATGCCGTGGTTGAACTGAACCTGCTTGTAGCGCATCGTACAAAAACAGCCCTTGCATGGAGGGAAACGAGCATATGATGAATCGTGTCTCAGTCAGTCAGCCGTTTCATCCGTTCACTCCCCTTCCTTGGCCCCTGGCATTTCCCTTCCCTTCCCTCCCCGCCCCTGACTACCCCCGCGTGCAGTGGTTACCAGCTGTCGAGAGTGCTCTGCTGCAGCAACGACTGAGGGATTTCAGGCGTGGATACTTGGTAAACTGTACGTCTGACCCTTCCCCCCATCGACCCCTCATGCTCCCCTCGCCCCCTTGTTTCCCCTTCCGACCACTGACTACCCCCGCATGCAGTGGTTACCAGCTGTCGAGAGTGCTCTGCTGCAGCAACGATTGAAGGAGATCAAGCAAGCGCGGGACAAGGTTAAACAGGGCAAGAGGAGGGCATCTGCATCAGGAAGCCGAGACTGGAGGCATCACAGTGACAAGCAGCACACAGGGGAAGCGAGAGAGGGTTGGGGAGCGAGGAGTGCTGGAGAAGGAAAGGGGAACACAGGAGCAGGGAGTGGAGGGGATGGAGAGGAAGAGAGGAGTGGGCATGCATTGGAGGTGCCTCCTGACGGCAATGCTTTAAACTCTCCTTCTCCACCCACATCACCATTTTCACCTGACGATACACCTGCTCAACCTGCCCCTCAACTTGCCCAACCTGCCCCTCCGCCTGTCCAAACAGCCCTTCAGCGTGCCCCTGAACCTACCCAACCTACTGCTGGGCCTGCTCAACCCTCCCCTCCGCTTGTTCAAGCTGCTTCTCCCTCCATCCAACTTGCCCCTCAGCCTGTCCCTCCGCCTGCCCCTCGATCCGCGCAGCCTGCTTCTCTGCCTGCCCAACCTGCTGCTCCGTCTGTCCAACCGGCCAGCGCATCGAGCCAACCTGTCTCAACACCTGCGACTGGTGTTGGCAGTTCTGCTTCAGCAGCCTCGTTAGGTGCTCCTTCAGGTGCTGCTGGGCTTGCTCAACCTTCCCCTCTGCCTGCCCAACCTGCTGCTCCTTATGGCCAACCGGCCAGCGCATCGAGCCAACCTGTCTCAACAGGTGCTGCTTCAGTTGCCTCCTTAGGCGCTCCTTCAGGTCCTTCCTCGGGTGCTCCTTCAGGTCCTTCCTCAGATGCTTCTTCAGGTGCTTCTTCAGGTGTTTCTTCAGGTACTGAGGTATCAGGAATTTCCCTGCCATCACTAGCACAACTGCACAGGGGTAATGTGAACTCAGTGGGGGCGATGCAGGGGGGTGCTGCACACTTACCTACAGCAGCAGCGGCTGCAGATGTTTCACCAGAAACAGCAGCGGCTAGAAGTGAGGCAGCAGCTGCAGCATCAGCCGAAACAACAGCAGCAGCCGTAAAATCAGAAGCAAGAGCGGTTGCATCTTTAGCAGAGACAGCAGCAGAGAAAGGAGCTGCAGCAGTAGCAGCAGAACTGGCAGCAGCCGCAGCAACAGGAGCAGCAGATGAAACAAACGCAGAGGCCGAGGCAGCAGCAGCAGCAGTGGCAGCAGCACCGTCGGTGGCACAGTGGGCGGAGGTGGCTCTGAACCTCGTGGATGCAGCCATGCCTGGTGCTGTGAGCAAGGGGGAGAGGGCGCAGGTGCGTTGACTGTGAGTGTGAGTGAGTGCGTGAATGCGTGAGTTTGTGTGGGTGTATGTGTACGAGTGTGTGTGTTTGTGTGTGTGTGTTTCTGTGTGAGTGAGGGTGCGTGAGTGAGAGTGTGAGTGAGTGTGAGGCAGCAGGTGTTGCCGGCCAAGCTGGGTTGCTGGTCGCTCCCACTGTCTTTCCCTTCCCCTGAAATTCCATGCCCCTGACGCTCCCTGCCCCTGTCTCGCTCCTGTCCTTCCATTCACCTCTTCTTCCTCGCATCCCTTCCCCTCTTTCTTGCTTTGCCTGTGCTTTCCATCCCAGCTCTTAGCAGCCATAACGAGGGGGCAGAGCATAGCAGATGCGGTGCAGCAGGTGTTGCCACCAGAGCAGCACACAGCAGTGGCCACCACTCTCAGGCACTGCCTAGAGGCCGCTCAAAGCTCAGCTGCACTGGAAAGCACTCTCAAGCAGGCGGCTTCTCTCCTTCCCCAGGCACGTGCGATTCTTGAGGCGCCTCAGAAAGAGCCACCTAAAAAAGAGGCGCCTCAAAGCGAGGCGCCTAAAGAAGAGGCGCCTCAATTTCCGGTTCCTGCTGTGGAGCGGAGTGAGCAGGAGCAGCAGCAGCAGGAGGAGGAGCAGGAGGAGCGTGAGAAGGGGCAGTGGCAAGAGCATGAGGAAATGCAACACCAGACAGAGGAGAACGAGGCGCAGCAGCAAGAGAAGGAGCACCAGCGGCAGAACCAGGTGCTTGACGAGTTGTGGAGCGAAATACCCGAGTATGACCAGGCAGATGCGGCCTCTTCTGATGGTGATACTCATAATGGCGAGAAGAAGAACAAAAGTGGCAGCAACAGCAGTGGCAGCAGCAGTGGGGACAGAAGCAGCAGAGGCAACCCCAGCAGAACGAGCAGCAGCATTGCTCCATCCATCTCCTCCCAGCCTCCTGGCCCATCCCCACAGCCCTCTCCCCTCCTCGCTCCCGCCCTTCCTAGCCCCCCTCCTTCCCAAGTCTCCTCTCCAGCCTCCCCAGCCGCCCCCACACCCCCTACCGCGTCACATCCCCCTGCCGCCTCCCCTCCCCCTGCCTACTCACCTCCCCCTGCCACCTCGTCCCCTCCTGCCACCTCGTCCCCCCCTGCCACCTCATCCCCCCCTGCCACCTCATCCCCCCCTGTCACCTCATCCCCCCCTGCCACCTCGCCCCCCCCTGCCACCTCACCTCCCCCTGCCACCTCATTTCCTCCTGCCAAGTCCCCTTCCCCATCTCCTGTTCCACCCTCTCCTCCATCTACCCCTCCCCCATCGTCCATCCCCCCACCTCCCAGCTCTGCATCCGCCATCAGCAGTCTCCCTGCTCCTCCTCTCACCTCCCCTAATACCCCTGCCCCCAACCCCCCTCCCCCCACTCCCCCTCCCCCTACTTCTCCTTCCCCCAGCACTCCCGCCTCCACCTCCACTTCCCCTCATCCCCCTTCAGGGGCTTCCCCCTCTTCCTCCCCTACTCTCCCCAACTCCCCTTCTGCTACCCCTCCGCCCTCCAGCCTCCCCCCAACCTCCCCTTCTCCCACTTCTGATGCGCCCTCCCCCCCAACCCCTTCCCCAGATCCCTCCCCCGCCTCCCCTCCTTCAGAATCTCCACTTTCCCCCAACCCCCCTCCTTCTCCCCCCCCACCTGCATCCTCCGCTCCTCTATCTCTCAGTGGGCTGAATTTGTCTGTAGCGGTGCAGGCGTTATCTGGGGTAGATGATAACTCGCAGGTGGCGGTGGCGAGTGTGTTCGATGCTGTGGGTGGGATTTTAGCAGAGCTAAAGCAAGAAAAAGAGAAACGGGAGGAGGAGGAGGAAGAGAGGAAGGAGGAGGAAAAGAGGGAGGAGGAGGAAAAGAGAGAGGAGGAGGAAGAGAAGAGGGAAGAAAAGGAGAAAGAAGGTAAGGAGACAGGGGAAGAGAAGGGTAAATTACGGGATGAGGAGAGGGAGGTACGGCACGAGGCAAAGAAGGGGGAAAAGGAGGAGGGAAACAAGGAATATGGGCGACGGGCCTTCTCAACAGGCTCTCCCATGGGTAAGATGGTGGGCTCTGCTACAGCCATGGCTGCTACAGCTCTGGCCATGAATGCTACAGGTGGGACACATGGAACGGCAGCAGGGGCCGGATCTGCAACGCCTTGGGTGGAGCATGGTGGGAAGGTAGTGGCAGGAGGGGAGGGGGAGGTAGGGGACGCAAGAGGGGCTGGAGCAATTGCAAGAGAAGGGGCAGCAAAAGCAGCAGCAGCAGCTGGAACAGCAGGTGGTCCAGCAGCGGAACTAAAGCAGGGAGCAAAGGAAGGAGGAAGAGGAAGTGCCGAGGGAGGAGGAGAGGGACGTGGGGAGGGGGGAGCAGCAGAGGGTGCAGGAGAGGGGATCTTGGAAATAGCAGAGAGGGCGATAGAAGTGGCGTCCCCTGTGATTCCCAGGAAGCAGGACGGACAGATTGACCTCAAGAGGTGAGTCAAGTTGGAATGACAGAATTGTAGGAGTCTGAGAATTCTTGAGTATGCACGAGGGCGATAGAAGTGGTGTCCCCTGTGATTCCGAGGAAGCAGGACGGACAGATCGACCTGAAGAGGTGAGCCAAGTTGGAAAGACAGAGTATTGTAGGAGTCTGAGAATTCTTGAGTATGCACGAGGGCGATCGAAGTGGTGTCCCCTGTGATTCCGAGGAAGCAGGACGGACAGATCGACCTGAAGAGGTGAGCCAAGTTGGAAAGACAGAGTATTGTAGGAGTCTGAGAATTCTTGAGTATGCACGAGGGCGATAGAAGTGGCGTCCCCTGTGATTCCGAGGAAGCAGGATGGACAGATCGACCTGAAGAGGTGAGCCAAGTTGGAAAGACAGAGTATTGTAGGAGTCTGAGAATTCTTGAGTATGCACGAGGGCGATAGAAGTGGCGTCCCCTGTGATTCCGAGGAAGCAGGATGGACAGATCGACCTGAAGAGGTGAGCCAAGTTGGAAAGACAGAGTATTGTAGGAGTCTGAGAATTCTTGAGTATGCACGAGGGCGATAGAAGTGGCGTCCCCTGTGATTCCGAGGAAGCAGGATGGACAGATCGACCTGAAGAGGTGAGCCAAGTTGGAATGACAGAATTGTAGGAGTCTGAGAATTCTTGAGTATGCACGAGGGCGATAGAAGTGGTGTCCCCTGTGATTCCGAGGAAGCAGGACGGACAGATCGACCTGAAGAGGTGAGCCAAGTTGGAAAGACAGAGTATTGTAGGAGTCTGAGAATTCTTGAGTATGCACGAGGGCGATCGAAGTGGTGTCCCCTGTGATTCCGAGGAAGCAGGACGGACAGATCGACCTGAAGAGGTGAGCCAAGTTGGAAAGACAGAGTATTGTAGGAGTCTGAGAATTCTTGAGTATGCACGAGGGCGATAGAAGTGGCGTCCCCTGTGATTCCGAGGAAGCAGGATGGACAGATCGACCTGAAGAGGTGAGCCAAGTTGGAAAGACAGAGTATTGTAGGAGTCTGAGAATTCTTGAGTATGCACGAGGGCGATAGAAGTGGCGTCCCCTGTGATTCCGAGGAAGCAGGATGGACAGATCGACCTGAAGAGGTGAGCCAAGTTGGAAAGACAGAGTATTGTAGGAGTCTGAGAATTCTTGAGTATGCACGAGGGCGATAGAAGTGGCGTCCCCTGTGATTCCGAGGAAGCAGGATGGACAGATCGACCTGAAGAGGTGAGCCAAGTTGGAAAGACAGAGTATTGTAGGAGTCTGAGAATTCTTGAGTATGCACGAGGGCGATAGAAGTGGCGTCCCCTGTGATTCCGAGGAAGCAGGATGGACAGATCGACCTGAAGAGGTGAGCCAAGTTGGAAAGACAGAGTATTGTAGGAGTCTGAGAATTCTTGAGTATGCACGAGGGCGATAGAAGTGGCGTCCCCTGTGATTCCGAGGAAGCAGGATGGACAGATCGACCTGAAGAGGTGAGCCAAGTTGGAATGACAGAATTGTAGGAGTCTGAGAATTCTTGAGTATGCACGAGGGCGATAGAAGTGGTGTCCCCTGTGATTCCGAGGAAGCAGGACGGACAGATCGACCTGAAGAGGTGAGCCAAGTTGGAAAGACAGAGTATTGTAGGAGTCTGAGAATTCTTGAGTATGCACGAGGGCGATCGAAGTGGTGTCCCCTGTGATTCCGAGGAAGCAGGACGGACAGATCGACCTGAAGAGGTGAGCCAAGTTGGAAAGACAGAGTATTGTAGGAGTCTGAGAATTCTTGAGTATGCACGAGGGCGATAGAAGTGGCGTCCCCTGTGATTCCGAGGAAGCAGGACGGACAGATCGACCTGAAGAGGTGAGCCAAGTTGGAAAGACAGAGTATTGTAGGAGTCTGAGAATTCTTGAGTATGCACGAGGGCGATAGAAGTGGCGTCCCCTGTGATTCCGAGGAAGCAGGATGGACAGATCGACCTGAAGAGGTGAGCCAAGTTGGAAAGACAGAGTATTGTAGGAGTCTGAGAATTCTTGAGTATGCACGAGGGCGATAGAAGTGGCGTCCCCTGTGATTCCGAGGAAGCAGGATGGACAGATCGACCTGAAGAGGTGAGCCAAGTTGGAAAGACAGAGTATTGTAGGAGTCTGAGAATTCTTGAGTATGCACGAGGGCGATAGAAGTGGCGTCCCCTGTGATTCCGAGGAAGCAGGATGGACAGATCGACCTGAAGAGGTGAGCCAAGTTGGAATGACAGAATTGTAGGAGTCTGAGAATTCTTGAGTATGCACGAGGGCGATAGAAGTGGTGTCCCCTGTGATTCCGAGGAAGCAGGACGGACAGATCGACCTGAAGAGGTGAGCCAAGTTGGAAAGACAGAGTATTGTAGGAGTCTGAGAATTCTTGAGTATGCACGAGGGCGATCGAAGTGGTGTCCCCTGTGATTCCGAGGAAGCAGGACGGACAGATCGACCTGAAGAGGTGAGCCAAGTTGGAAAGACAGAGTATTGTAGGAGTCTGAGAATTCTTGAGTATGCACGAGGGCGATAGAAGTGGCGTCCCCTGTGATTCCGAGGAAGCAGGATGGACAGATCGACCTGAAGAGGTGAGCCAAGTTGGAAAGACAGAGTATTGTAGGAGTCTGAGAATTCTTGAGTATGCACGAGGGCGATAGAAGTGGCGTCCCCTGTGATTCCGAGGAAGCAGGATGGACAGATCGACCTGAAGAGGTGAGCCAAGTTGGAAAGACAGAGTATTGTAGGAGTCTGAGAATTCTTGAGTATGCACGAGGGCGATAGAAGTGGCGTCCCCTGTGATTCCGAGGAAGCAGGATGGACAGATCGACCTGAAGAGGTGAGCCAAGTTGGAAAGACAGAGTATTGTAGGAGTCTGAGAATTCTTGAGTATGCACGAGGGCGATAGAAGTGGCGTCCCCTGTGATTCCGAGGAAGCAGGATGGACAGATCGACCTGAAGAGGTGAGCCAAGTTGGAAAGACAGAGTATTGTAGGAGTCTGAGAATTCTTGAGTATGCACGAGGGCGATAGAAGTGGCGTCCCCTGTGATTCCGAGGAAGCAGGATGGACAGATCGACCTGAAGAGGTGAGCCAAGTTGGAATGACAGAATTGTAGGAGTCTGAGAATTCTTGAGTATGCACGAGGGCGATAGAAGTGGTGTCCCCTGTGATTGAGGAAGCAGGATGGACAGATCGACCTGAAGAGGTGAGCCAAGTTGGAAAGACAGAGTATTGTAGGAGTCTGAGAATTCTTGAGTATGCACGAGGGCGATCGAAGTGGTGTCCCCTGTGATTCCGAGGAAGCAGGACGGACAGATCGACCTGAAGAGGTGAGCCAAGTTGGAAAGACAGAGTATTGTAGGAGTCTGAGAATTCTTGAGTATGCACGAGGGCGATAGAAGTGGCGTCCCCTGTGATTCCGAGGAAGCAGGATGGACAGATCGACCTGAAGAGGTGAGCCAAGTTGGAAAGACAGAGTATTGTAGGAGTCTGAGAATTCTTGAGTATGCACGAGGGCGATAGAAGTGGCGTCCCCTGTGATTCCGAGGAAGCAGGATGGACAGATCGACCTAAAGGTGAGTCACGCTGCAGAGGTGAGTCAAGCTGCAGTGGTGAGTCAAGCTGCAGAGGTGAGTCAAGCTGCAGAGGTGAGTCAAGCTGCAGAGGTGAGTCAAGCTGCAGAGGTGAGTCAAGCTGCAGAGGTGAGTCAAGCTGCAGAGGTGAGTCAAGCTGCAGAGGTGAGTCAAGCTGCAGAGGTGAGTCAAGCTGGAATGAGATTGATGTTTCTGGTGCCTCAAGAAAGAATATTCTCACCACACACAAGTGGCGCCCCTTGTGCTTCCAGTGGAGCGATAGATTATCACTCCTAAAGAATTGTCTCATACCTGCAGAGAGGAGCCGACCTGACCATTCTTGGGGTGGTTAGATGAGTCACTAAGGGGTGGTGAAGGTGGCATCTCTCACCTTCCCTCCTCCACTCCCGTTCCCCCACCAACACTCCACCCTGCAAGCAGGTTATCCGAGATGATACAGCAGTGGGGATCACAGGGACGCATGCTGAGGGTGGCAAAGTGGTTGGGAAGGTGACTTTTCCATCCCCCCTCCTCCCTCCCCCCCCCTCCCCCCCCCCCCCCCCCCCACCCCCGCCATTCCACCCTGCAAGCAGGTTATCCGAGATGATACAGCAGTGGGGATCACAGGGGCGCATGCTGAGGGTGGTGGGGAAGGCGGCTCTCTTTGCAGAGGGGCTGTACGGCGCCGTGGGGCTGTGCGAGCAGCTCATTGCTCTCACCGACATCCACAAACGGGCACTCACCACAAGGTAAGCAGCTGAGAGCACTATCGCAATGCACATGCTGCCTCTTTGCAGAGGGGCTGTACGGTGCTGTGGGGCTGTGCGAGCAGCTCATTGCACTCACAGACATCCACAAGCGGGCGCTCACCACCAGGTGAGCGAGGAGGTGATAAGCACTCACGACCACTCACAAGTGAGCACTGCACTCTTTACACCCACAGGAGGGGCTGTACGGCGCCGTGGGGCTGTGCGAGCAGCTCATTGCCCTCACTGACATCCACAAACGGGCTCTCACTACTAGGTGAGGTGGTGGCAGCACTCACGGACACTCACAAGCAGTCGCTCAGGATAACGCAGGCAGCTTTTAACACTGTTCTGATCTCGTTAGACCCACACACGGGGCTGTATGGTACCATGGGGCTGTGCGAGCAGCTCATCTCACACACTCACATTCACAAGCGATCACTCACCACTAGGTGAAGTTCTGACAGCACTCACTACCAGGTGAGTGCACATGTCGTTCTTGTTGCAATTCACTAATCACACCCAAAGGGCTGTATGGCACCGTGGGGCTGTGCGAGCAGCTCATCTCACTCACTGATATCCACGAGCGATCACTCACTACTAGGTGAGGTGAGGTGGTGGCAGGACTCACGGACACTCACAACCAGGTGATTGCTTCACCTTCCTTCTCTTCCATGCTCTCTCCTTTCCCTCACTCATCACACCACACTCATCACACCACACTCATCACACCACACTCATCACACCACACTCATCACACCACACTCATCACACCACACTCATCACACCACACTCATCACACCACACTCATCACACCACACTCATCACACCACACTCATCACACCACACTCATCACACCACACTCATCACACCACACTCATCACACCACACTCATCACCCTCACTATCGTTCCCTTTCCCACCCACCCCTTTTTCCCCCACTCTGCAGGCTCCTCTTCTCACTCCTCCTCCTCATCCTCCTCTGGTCGCCCATCCTCATCCCCCTCCTCCCCTCCCTCATCACCACACTCACCTCCGCCTCGGCCAATCCCGCAACGCCACCTGTCGTCACCACAGCCCTGCTGGCCGTGGGTCTGTACATAGCCCTGCTGCTGCTGGTGCGCATCTGGGGCAGGAGGGTGCGAAGATACGAGCACCCGATTGAGCAGTATGGGTTGCGAGTGTTCGAGTCAACACAGGAGGTGAGTTGTGAAAGCTGTTATGTTGCTATGTTGTTAGTCTGTGGGTCCGTGGGTTTGGACAAAGCAATGCTGCTGCTAGTGCGCATTTAGGGCTGGAGGGTCTGGAGATTCGTTTCAGCAGTATTGATTGCGAGCGTTCGAGTCAACACAGGAGGTGAATCACAAAGGAGGGAAAATAAGAAATGAAGGGTGCAGAGGTACGAACCACCCCGTCTCCTCTGTATCCCATTGTCATTACATTCGTGATTGTGCTTGCATGACATGAAAAAACCAAAAAAAAAAAAAACAAAAAAAAAAAAAAACAAAAAGGTTCTCGTCCTCGCCAGCTGGCATGGTTGGTCCAGGGTCTACTGCTGGGCTCGCTGCTGCTACACGCCATTCAACTCCATCTGCACCGCACTTCCCTCGAAACTCCTCACTCACGCATGCTGCACCTTTCTTCTCCCCCCATTCCATCCCTCTCCACCCCCATCACCACCACCAGCTTGCATGGTTGGCACAGGGTCTAATGCTCGGTTCATCCCTGCTGCTGCTGCTCCACGCCATTCAACTCCATCTGCGCCTCACCTCCCTCAACCTCCCCTTCGACACCCTCCCAAGCTTCCACCTTCCATCCTTCCACCTTCCATCCTTCCACCTTCCATCCTTCCACCTCCCAAACCTTCACCTCCCAGCCTTCACCTTCCCAACCTTCCACCACCTTCCCATCCTCCATCTCCCAACTCTCGCCCTCATCCCCTCACACCTTTCCTCCGCCTTGCACTCGCTCCTGCTTCTCCTGCACGAAGCCACCTCCTCCCTGCCTCACTGGCTGCCCCTACATTTCCCTCCTCCCTCGACCTTCTCAGCTACCCAGTCCCTACAAGGCCCAATCCTCGCTGCTTCCGGTGCTGCTGCTGCTGCTGCGACTGCTGCAGCTGCCACCCCCACTGGCACGCCTGCCCTCCTAGTCTCGCTCCTCCCCTCCCTTCTCCCATCCCTCCTCTCCGCCCTCCTCTCTCTCCTCGTATCCACCACTCGCATCCTGCGCCTTGTACTGGAGTCGCTACTAATGGGTACAGCTGTAGCAGTGGTGGAAGAGCTGGTCTTCCGAGGCTGGCTGTTTGAAGAGGTTCGGCAGGACCGAGGCTTGGCATTTGCTTCGGGATTCACTGCGCTGCTGTTTGCTCTCGTGCACTGGTGAGTGCGAGTGCTTTCCCTGTCGGTCCCCTCGCCTCCCTTCTCCCCCTAGGCCTCCCTTCTCGCCTCCCTTTAGGCCTCCCTTCTCGGCTCCCTTCTCGCCTCCCTTTTCCCCATCCCGGCCATACCGTATCAGGCCTTTTCCTCATTTCCAACGCCCTCTCATTTCTGCACCACTGCCTGACATGCGTGCCCCAACCATGCCACCTCCGTCCTATCCCCCGTTCACATCCCGTCCCGTCCCCCTTCCCCTCCCCCACCTCCCACCTCCAGGTCTATCCCAGCCATGCCAGGCCTCTTTCTCCTCTCCCTCTTCCTCTCCTTCCTCCGCCATCGCTGCTGCCCCAGTCTCTCCCTCCCACCTCCCTTTGTCTCCCGTTCACATCCCGTCCCGTCCCCCTTCCCCTCCCCCTCCTCCCACCTCCCACCTCCCACCTCCAGGTCTATCCCAGCCATGCCAGGACTCTTCCTCCTCTCCCTCATCCTCTCCTTCCTCCGCCATCGCTGCACCAGCAGCCTCTCCCTCCCCATTGGCCTCCACACCAGCCTAGTTGCCGTAAATCAAATTACATATTTCTCCGGAATCGTATCCTATCGCCCGGGAGCGCCTGTGTGGCTCACAGGAGTGCATAAGGGGAACCCTTTGGCTGGGGTGATTGCACAGGGGCTTTTGCTGGTGATGGCTGTGGTGCTGTGCCCTTGGGGGGAACTAGTGCGGGAAAATAAGGGGTATTTGTATCATGATAGTGATATTGATAGCGATGGTGACAGTAGGGATAGCGAGGATGAGTACTTCGACTCATCCTCGCATGCTACAAAACAGTGAATGGGTAGGTAGGATTGTTCTAACACAGTGGTGTACTTTAGATATACGGCGTTCATGGCATTTTCAAGCAACCAACTTATTCAAAAGCTCCCACATCCCTGTCGTCACACTCCCTCATCAATCAGGCCTCCTGCTGCACCCCTCCCCATCTTCCGTGCAACCAGCACAATGACTGTAATCGCCGCCTCCACACTCCAGTTCTGCACTCCTTGTGCGAATCACTCCTTGGACAGACATCCTTTGAGTACTAGGCCCAGCAAGAGTCGCCTCACCTCCTCTCAAGCCTGCTGCAGCCCCATCTTCCGTGCCACCTGTGTGTTGGCTGCTATTGCCTCCTCCACACTCCAGTTCTGCACCTCCTCCAAAGGCAACCCCTCCTCTCCTCACACACCTTCAAGTCAAATCAAGAGATGCCTTCTCTCACGCCTCTCAGCCCTGCTGTAGTCCCATCTTCCGTGCAACCTGTGCGTTGGCTGCTATTGCCTCCTCCACACTCCAGTTCTGCACCTCCTCCAAAGGCAATCCCTCCGCACACACCACCTTTATGCTCCCCTTTTCTCTCGTATTCCCCTCCTCCAGGTTTTCCTCCCCCTCGCTAAGCCCCTCCTCCTCTCTGATTCCCTCATCCTCTCTCATCCCCTCTTCTCTGCCCCCTCCTTCTCTACTCATTTCTTCCACCCTGCTCCCCTCCTCACTGCTTTCCTCTTCGTTACTCCCCTCCGCTCTGCTCCCCTCCTCCCTGCTCCACTCTGCTTGAATTTCCCCTTCCTCCCAGCTCCCCACTTCATGTCTCCCCTCTTCGCTACTCCAGGCTTCCTTCCTGCCCCAAGTCGTCTCACTGCTCCCTGCTTCCTCTCCCACCCGTAGCTGCCCGTTGCCTTGACCCGACACACACCTATCCTCTTGACTCTCCATATTCACTTGACTCTCCATAATCTCCTGATTCTCGTATGTCTTGAGCTCAATAAATTTAATTCCCACGCCCTCAGCAGCATCAGCAGCAGCTGCGGCAGCATCAGACGCTGCAGCAGAGCCTGAGCTATCATGCGCTTCAGCAATAGGGTATCGGCTCCCTACCAAGCTCCCTGCCAATGATTCTGTGGTTCCGCTCGCCTCCATGCTGCTGCCGCCACTGCCCCCTCCGCTGCTGCTGCCGCTGAGTAAAGAATTGCTACTAGTGCTACTGGTGTCGCTGCTGGTACCGCTGCTGCTTCTTCCTGGCAAGTCAGCCACTGCTACAGCTGTAGCAGCCGATACAGCCACGCCATCCGTAGCAGCCGCCTTGGAGCTTAAATAATTCCTCAAAACCCTCTTAGAATAATCGAGGTCCTTCCTCGAACCGACTTCCTGCTGTCTCCCCTTGCTCGCATCATGCCCCCCACCACCAAACAATCCCCTCATCCCTTCATGTACACTGGTCGTTGCGCCTGCTGCCCCCCCTGATGCTCCAACCCTGCCGCCCAATGCCGCCCCTCCAGCAGCAACGGCAACAGCCACGCCAAGAGCCACCGCCCACCTCCCACCGTGCTGCGACCCAGCGAGAAGTTTCCCCTCGGGCAGCAGAAACTGCTGCTGCCCGACCGTGGCTGTAAACTGTTGGGCAGAGCCGCCCAAAAAGGTGCTCCTGTGTTGCTTATCCACTGATCCCCCTCCCACTTGCCCACCTGCTATCCTCTGCTGCCCCCCGTCCGTCCTTCCCAGTTGTTGCAGCTTCAACTGCTGTGGCTGCTGCAGTGGCTGCTGCGGTTGCAGCCGCCGCAGCTGCAGCTGCTGCGGTTGCTGCCTGAATGCGGTTGCAGCGAGGCGTGAAGGAGCAGCAGCAACAGGTGTGCAGTCAAGGTACGGGATCTGAAGGGGGGCGCCAGATGAAACAGAGGGATAAGGAGGGAAGGAGAGGGATAAAGTGGGTGAGGAAGATAAGGGTAACGACCATCAGATTAGGAGAAACACGCACGAATATCCCTGAGAATGGGCAGGAGAAACAAGAAACAGACGGGATTGCGACAGCACGCGAACAAGAGCAGCAGGCGAGCCCAGTTCCAGGAAACTTCCTCACCTTGGGAGCACCCACGCTAGCAAAGGCAGAAGCCACCTCCCTCTCTTCGCACACCTCTATTCGCTGCAAGCCCGCACCAGCAACCGCCCTCCCTTTTCTCGCCTCCTCTCCCTTCCCAGAGCTATTACTTCTCAGGCTCCCTCTGCTGCCTCCGCCACCACTCTCCCTGCTTTCCTTCCGTCCCCCCAACAGCCCCCCCTCCCTTCCCCCTCCGCCTCTCGCCTTCCCGCCCTCCCGCGCTCCAGAATTGTTTCTCTGCTGCCCGACATTCGGACCGGCCACGTACTTTCCAGGGTAATTTCCCCCGGGTTTCTCTCTGAACTTCAGGGCGAAGTCCTGCGATACCTTGATTTCTGCGTCTTCTTGATTAAGATGCTTATTACTGGGTTGACTAGGTTGACTCAAACGTTGACTGCCAAGCTGACTTGTTTGACTTCCACGCTGCTGCTGCTGCGACCCGTTATCGACATCCCCTCTCTCTACCGCCGCTCCAGCCGCGTTACTACCTCCTCCTTCCGCTCCATTCCACCCTGCCAAGTCACCGCCTTTCGTGGTAGCAACTGGACGCGTCGCGAAACTCGTCACGTCGTCGACTTTCGCCGCGGTCGGCAGGAATATCACCTCCCCCACTCGCACCGCGGGCGACGGCTTGTCGTTTACAGCGAGGAGCGCGTCCAGGGGGAGGTGGTAACTGGCGGCGATGGAGAAGAGGGTATCGCCTGGTGCTACCTGGTGAAGGCGCATCGACACTGATACGCTATCTCTTTTTGTCGTTTTCCCGTTGAGTTTTGGATGTTGTTCCCGCGGCGGTGCACCGGTGGAGGCGCGGTGTGGAAGTGCGGCGCGAGCTTGCGACGAAACCTGCAAGATGGTTGAACAAAAGCAAGTAGTAGAAGAAAGAAATAAAACTCAAGACGACATTTGAGGAGTCCAAGCGTCCATGATTCTGGAAAAAAAAAAAAAAAAAAAAAAGGGGGGGCGAGGAGAAAGGAGGAAGGGGGAGGGAGGAGGGGAAAGAAAGGCGGAAAGAGAAGGTACGACGCAATTAACGAAAATGACAATGCAGAGTTGCAACGCACCTTCTGCTGCTGCGCTGTGCAAATGGTCGAAGGATCAGCACCGGCTGGGCCTGCTGAGCTACGGAAACTATTGAACTGAGCGTTGGCGGTAACCCCGCCGCAACCATCGGCGCCCCACGAGCGAGAATGCGAGGCTAAATATCCCATGTCTGAAGCCACAACGTTTTTGGCGGTAAAAGGAACGGATCGGAGCGCCATGCTCGCACCACGATAAAATTGAAACTAGGAGAAAGATGAAGTAGAGATTATTATGCCTGAAAATAAGGGACCGTGGTGGAACAATTTAGGGGCATCGATGGAAATGAAATGAAACGAAAATGAGCAGACCCGTGGATAGAGGGAAAGGCAGGCAGCAGGGGCTGGGGGGAAATATCTAGGACCAAGGCAATGGCGGGAAATATGTACCCCTTCACCTTTGGCGTTGGCCTCGGATCATAGCCATGGCGGGCTGTGTGGTGGTTCGGAAGCACACCAAAAGTTCGGGCAGCCCGGCGAGCATCCCTACGAGACTCGGGCAGCGGCGAGTGATACCTGAGCGCGCTTGCTGAACTGCGCCGAGGCTTGATCTGTCCCCTACATACGGTTCATTAGGGTACGGTTCTGTTTACTAGCAGTTATGTTGGTTACAAAACGGTTCTCAGGGCAATCACGACGGCGGTCAGGCTTGGCCGTAAAACACCGCCGACTTGGGATATGTGAAGCGATGGGCAGGCGAATGTTGAGGTTTCACTTGCGGGCACGGTTTGGAAGTAGAGGTATGGGTGTCGAAGCCCTGATGAGGTAGAACCGAGCCAGACGGGAGGCTGGTTCGGTCTACTTAGAAAGTCCGAGTCTGTGGAGGCCATTTCTCAAGTAACATACCAATACGCATATAGAGCTCTCTGATAAAAGTACACCGAATATCCTAGTTCAACCACACTTAACACCATCCTAGAGTCCAAACTCAAAAGAGAGAACACATACTAAGCAAGAAACTACATTTCACGAGGCGACATTACTGTTGATTCATGGGGTTCTGTGGCGACTTCTTCCACGCCTTCCAAATCTGCTCCTTGTACTGCGTGAGAGTCAAGCCAGGCCGCTCCTGCTTCATGCGCGGAAGCTCCGCCTCCTCAAAGGCCTGAGGAAGGAAAATCATGGGAAAAGGGTGAAAGAAAGGAAAACGGAAGCATGGTCAACAGTCGGGTGCAAGAGGGTGGACTGGTGGCAGTATCAAGCATGGGCTCGAATGCATCGACAACCAGGATGAAAGAAACATCAGGGTGCACATGATTGAAGCCTGAATCAGGCACCAAGCATCAAAGATGTAGCATGACGCAGCAAGCATCTGGCCCCGGTATCACACTTGCCTTTAAAAAAACATTCCACATCCCAGCTCGTCCTCCCTCCCACCTTAATAACCGTTTCCAACCCAATTGCTAATTACCCTCTCCCCTCCCCTCCTCCCCTTGCCTCAACCTTTCACCTCATTCTCCTCTCACCCTCACTCTTCTCCTCTCGACCCCCTCCTCACCCATTTCTCACCCTAAACGCGGCCTTGAGTCTCTTTTTCGGGAGCTTATCCACACTGCCGCTCCCCTCCTCCCCTGCTACTCCCTACCTCCCAATACCGTCACCCTCCTCTCACCTTGAATGCAGCCTTTATTTTTCTTCGCCAAGTGCTTATCCACACTACTGCTCCCCTCCTCCAATGCTAATCTCTACCCCAACGTACCTACATCCTTTCTCACCTTGAATGCAGCCTTTATTTTTCTTCTCCAAGTGCTTATTCACACTACTGCTCCTCCATTACTGTTCCACTCCTCCTCCCTGCTTCCCCCTTTACCTTCACCCTACTCTTCTCACCTAAAAAGCGGCCTTCATTCTCTTCTCTGAGTTCTTACCCACATTGCCGCTCCCCCACTCCACTACTACTCCCTACCTCCCCTTTACCTTTTTCCTCCTCTCACCTTAAACGCAGCCTTCATTCTCCTTTTCTGGGTGCGTATCCACACTGGGCTGCTCCTGTGCTGCTCATCCAATGATGCGCCCTAATCCCTCCTTACCTTCAACCTCCTCATCTCACCTTAAAAGCAGCCTTCATTCGCTTCTCAGGGTGCTTATCAACACTGGCGCTGCCCTCCTCCCCTGCAGCCACGCTCAGCTGACTCAGCGCCTCCCCCACGTTCCGCGCATCTACCGCCACCGCCATGCGGTTCGTGTTCTCCACCTCTAGCATCCGCGCATACTCCGCCTCTTCCGCCACCCGCGCAGCCTTCTTCCGCCGCTCCGCCTCCGCGCCCGCCAGCTCCTTCTGCTCGCGCTCCTTGATCAGCGCAAGCTCCGCCTGGGTCACTTTCGCGCCTCCCCCGCCGCTGCTCCCCGCGCCTGCGCGCCGAGCCCCCGCCCCCGCGCCACCGACGGACACCCCCTTCCCCGAGATCTTCGCCATCTCTTGCGCTTCGATCTCCTCGAGCCGCTTCTTCTCAGCGCGTTTCGCGGCGGCTTCCGCGCGCTTCTGCTCGTCCTCCTCCTTCTTCTTCGCGCCGCGGCCTTTCGGGCCCTCGTCCGCCCATCGCGCGTCCTCCTTGGCTTTCTCCGCCGCGCGCTTCTTTTCGTCCGCCGCCGCCGCCTTCCGCTCGCGCGCCTCCTCCGCCTTGGTGTTCGGAGCTAGCTTCTTCGGCATTTCGCCTCACGCGGTGGAACAAGCGTAAGAGCGCGGCTTGAACAACTCTACGCGCGCAGATTTGAATGCCTTGTGGTATCTAAAGAGCGCTTCAAACGCGCGACTTCAACGCTGCTTTAGCGACAGAAACGACGAATGGGGCCGGAAAGGAATAGTGCTCCTGGACGGCTGGATGTGGCGGATCCAGGAGAAGGCAGGCTTGCGGCCGAAGGGACAATCGGAAAAGCAATGTGCGCAACGGGAGTGCCGGCGAACATATGAAATAATCGCACGGCAGTGAATCTGTAGATCGAGAGTCAGGAGTAAATCCGCACATCCATGTGTATCGCGGAGAGGCAAGACGACGCCGAAAGCGGGACATGCTAGTATTGCTTCGGCATGACAATGAATGGGATAGTTCGACATACGCGATACAAGCTTTTCTTAGGAGCAAGAGAGTCCAGACGCAGAGAGACCAGGAGGAGCCTTGGGCGCAGTCAGGATTACACCACAGCCCGTTAGATGCCAGGGAATGCACCAGGAATGTATCTTAATCAAAAATTAACATAACCACTTCAAACAGTACTATGACGATGCCGCTATGTAGTATATATGCGGCTATTAGTTATTTAGTACCTATTCAAAAACCGAATCCAAACATCTTCATCAGGCTGGACCCTTTCTTCTTTTCAATAGGCGAGTCCTCCACAGCTGCCGCCTTCCGTGCTGCGTCCCTGGCTCTCAGCATTTCAATATACTCCTTCTCCTGCTTCTTCCTTGTATCCTTTAATTTCACCTGCTCGTCAGTAGCCTCCCTCCTCGTCTCCACAGGCACCTCCTCCAAAACTCCAAACGGCCCCTCCAATCCCAACTCCGAATACGCGTTATTCTCACCCAATACACTCTTATTCCAAACACCGCCCGGGCTACTACCCCCGGGAGCTGCTTTGATCGAAGCGGATTGGGCAAACTTCATCCCCCATCCTCCAAGGTCATTGTCTCCAAACGAACCGGACCTGAAATCCAGCTCCAGCTGCGAATATCCTCCTGACGCATAGTTAGGAACTCCTGACGCCGAACTCGAATGAGTCAATGGAGAATGCTGCATCAACTTATTCTCCTTCCCAACTCGGCTCCTCTCCCCCTTCCAATACTCCTCCTGGTTCTGCTCCCCTCCTGCCCCTGCCTTCTCAGCTCCTTTCCCCCCACCCTTGCCTCCAGACTGCACCACAGGCCCAAGGGCGTTCCCAGCAGGCAGCAGAACAAGCTCCTCTGCCCCAGCCTTCATAGACAGTTTAGGGACATTAGCTGCATTCATCACAGCCACATTCTCATGCTCGTTAGCCATGACATCCCTTATCCACATCCTTCTCTGGACCACGTTCTTTCCACTAGCCACCTGTTTATTCTCCTGCTCCTGCTCCTGTTGCTGCTCCTGCTGCTGCGTCTGCTCCTGCTCCTGTTGCTGCTCCTGCTGTTGCTGTTGCAGCTGCTGCACACCCAGTCCTTCGTCTCTGCTTCCCCCACCCTGCGTCCAGCTGAAATCAGCATCTGAATTCACTTCTCCTTTCGCCCCCCCTCTTTCCGCCTTCCCCGCCGCCGCCGCCGCCGCCTTTCCATAGTCACTGAAATTCCAGCACTCAAGGGAAGTCACGAGCAAAGACTCCTGACTCAGTCCATCCCCGCCCTTCGCACTCCCTACATTAGCTTCCCTACCTCGAGCAGGAGACTTGTTCCTCATCAGAACCGGATAGTCATTCTCCACAACCTTCCCTGCCCTTTCCCTTGATGCTCCTGCTGTTTTCTCCATTGCTCCTCCTGCTGCCCCTGCTGCTCCGGCTGCTTTCCCTGCTGCTTTCCCTGCTGCTGCTCCTGTTGATTCCTTTCCTCCTCCACTCTCAGCAGCAATGCGACCCCGAGCAGCAGACACTCCTCGCCCATTGTTGAACAGCTGCCCTTGCTCCTTCTCCTTCTCCTCTGCACCCTCCCTCACAACCACATGGGCGCTCTGGGACCGAACCACCCGCCCTCCTCTCACCAGCCCTTCAACGTCCCCCCCACTTCCACCTCCCCCAGTACCACCTCCCCCAGAACCACCTCCCCCGCTGCCTGTCCTCCTCATAGCCAACCCGCCCCTTATGCCCGCAGCAGCTGCTCCTTGCAAGCGGCTTCCTGGAACGTTCTGGGAGACGGAGATTCGCTGCTGCCCGTTTTGCTGCCCGAGCTTGCCTGTGCGGTAGAGATCGGGGCTCGGAGCACGGGCACGGGCACGAGACACAATTGCAGCAGAGGCTGCTGCAGCAGAGGTGGTAGCAGGGGGGCCTGCACTCGCAGCTGCTGCTTTGGCTGCAGAAGCAGCAGTAGGAGCCGTGAGAGAGGAGGAAGAGGAGAGCGTGCGAGAAGCAGCACCACCACCAGCAGAACCAGGCCTGGTGGTGCGAGGAGCAGAGAGGGGGCGACGATAGGCAGTGGAGCGCGGGGAGGGCAGCTGCTGCTTCTTTTGGGTGGCGACGGTGCTGGTTGGAGCAGCAGCCGCACGTGCAGCCCTGGCTGAAGCTGCAACCGCAGCACCAGAAGCGGAAGCACTGGCAGGGTGGGAGGCGGAGGAGAGGGAGCGGCGGCGCTCGGAGAGCGAGGCAGAGGAGGAGGAGGAGCGCACGAGGGAGGAGCTGCGGTGGAGCCGCTGCTGCCTTGCCTCCTCCTGCCGCCGCTTCTCCTCCTCCTGGAATCACACATAGGGTGGGTGAAGGGGAAGGCAAGAAGGCAAGACGCATGGGGTTAAAGTGCCTCAAGGGGTTGACAAGGAAACTGATGGTAAGGGAGCAAGAGCGCTTCTACCAAGAGCCAAACAATGAAACCAGGAAAAAGGCTGTGAGATGGATCGAAACATTCAAATAGGAAAGAGAACCAGAACGCTAGGACCAGAAAGAAGAATAAGCGTCACGCACCCTGCGTTTGGCAGCTTCCTGCTGCTTCCTCTCCATCACCATCATTGCCCTCTCCTGCACACTCATCGCCCCCGTTCCCCCTCCGCCTCCCACTCCCCCTCCCACTCCGCCACGCCCCCTGCCGGCCCCTCCCCCACTCCCCGCGCTCCCAATGCTCCTGCTCCGCGCCAACGCGCCCATTCCGCCTAAACCCATTCCCCCTGCGCGCATCCCTGCTGTTACACCACCGCTACCTCTTCCCCCCACTGCCCTCTTCGTTTCCGCCACTCCTCCACCTCCTCTCCCGGCACCTCTCCCCGCAGCTGCCCCCCCGCCTCCCCTTCCGCCCGTCCCCGCGCCAGCCTCCAGGGAGTTGCGGAACGCCTCCCCCTTCATGATGTCTTCCTCCCCCTCGTCTTCCGCCTCTCCCCACCCGGCCATTGTCTCCATTTCGAGTTCCCCAGGCAGTTCCCCAGGCACCAGTCTACGGTCGTTCAGGGCGGTCGTACCTCCCCTGAGCTCCACCTCCCCCAGATAATCCCTCCCCTCATCCGCATTCGCCCACGAGGAGCCCTTTTTGGGAGTTGAGGCGGTTACCATCAAGATATCAACCGGTCCCCCTATGCTGCCTGTGCAGCCTGCCCCCACTGCCCCTCCTGCTTCCCCTGCTCCGCCTGCTCCGCATGCTCCTCCCTCCGCCCCTCCCACCGGAAATCCCCCTGCTTCTCCCCCTGTGCCTCCGCCTGCCGCCGCGCCCCTTCCCCCGCTCCCCGCCCTCACATGATACGCGGACTGAGAGCGGATGATAGGCGAGATATGCGACGCCCTCCCGTGGCCACTCCCGCTCCTGATCAACGCTCCGCCGTCCGATTTCATCCCCATCGCAGCGGCGGCTAAGTCCAACCCGCTTGCCGCCTCCCTCCCCGCGCCGGTTCCGCCGACCCCCGGTTCCCCCTTCGCGCCTCTCCTCTGCAGCCCTTGGACAAAATCCCTCAGATCCTGCGACGTCGCGCGCGACATGGGTGACGACGCGCGCGACCTGGGCGACGTCGCGCGACTATTCACTGGTCGCAGCGGGCTCGCCGAGCAGCTCAGTTGATTCTCTGCGACGGAGCTCGCGACGCTGCTGTCTTCTATCAAATTCCTTCCCGGAAAAAGCACACTCGGTTCAGTCACATCGTCCCTACCAAACACCGCACTGCTCGTATCCGACAAATCCGTCGACGCCCCCGCATTACTCCCCGGGAATCCCGCCGCGCTCCACGGCCGCTGCTGCCACGGCATTAGCCGGCTAGCCGACTTGGACTTGAACGGCCGGCGCCGTCTAGCGGCGGCAGGCGAGTCGCCGCGATACGCGGCCGGCCCAGTTCCGTACCCGCCCCTTCCGTTAGTATCGTCCGTGCTCCATTCTGATTGGTCCTCCCCAGACCAACCCCCGGGCGTGGAAAACGGGCTGTTATACCCTGCAAAACCAGGGGCACTTCCCCAACCACCCGCCCCCGTCCCGCCGAGAGTTGCGCCACCCATTGTGCCGCCTATTCCGCCTCCCATTCCACCCATGCCGCCGCTGCCACCGGCAACAGCGTAAATCTCCCCATTGGGACCGACGAGGCCATAAGTTACAGGGGTCCCAGTAGGGGGAGATATCCCTGGGCCCATAGCGCCGGGTATACCACCGGGCATAGCCCCGTTATATAGCGGAACGAAGGGGTAATAGCCCCCAGGAGTCCCTGTAACCGTGTTACCGGTGACGTGGCCGTCGGGTAACCAGATTCCGCCGCCTCGCCCTGCCGCCAGCCCAAACGCCTGCTGCTGTTGCGACGGCGGCAGCTGCGGCGGGGCAGCGCCCGCGCCCCTGCCCGCGCCCACGCTTGCGCCACCGCCGGGCTGCGCGATGGACTGCGCGAGTTGCGCGCGCGTGAGGCTTTCCGCGTAGGCGAAGTCTTGGCGGCGGACGAGGGAGGAGAACTTGACGCACGCGTGCTTCAATCGGACGGCTCCGAAGCAATCTGCGAAGCACAGCAGCAGCGGCAGCACGTCCGGGGAGAATCCCGCCGCTGCTGCGCGCGCGATCGCCACGCCTTGCTCGCGCTTGAGCATGGCCGCGCGCACGTCCTTGGCTTGGCGCAGGCGACTGCGGGGAAACATGGGGGGTGGGGGAGATAGCGGAAGCACTCTTGAGGGGAAATCGGATCGAGTCGGTGCCACGCCTTGCTCGCGCTTGAGCATGGCCGCGCGCACGTCCATGGGTCCGCGCAGATGACTGCGCGGAAACAGGGCGGGAAGCAAACAGGTCCATTTCTTGAGACGTCTCGAAGGAAGCTACAGGGGAAAAACGAGTAGACGCCTCAAAACTCGTTTTTCAGAAGAACGAACCAAGGCAGCATCACGGCTCCATACCCTAACGGCCATGCATCATCACGATGAGTCAACCCCAATCTCACCTCTCTCGCTCGCCGCTATCGCTGGACGCATCTGTCTTGAATCCATTCTGCAGCAGTCACGCACGCAGGCATGGGATCACGCAAACACAGGACGGAACGATCGTCAGCACAAGAGTATCGTTTGTGGCAACGAAAAACCTGAGCAGGTACGAGCAGGGACACGAGCGGGGAAATGAGCACTCACGAGGCTTCGGGCGGGAGACGGCGAGCGAGACGACGCTCGTCGCCCCGAGAGCCGGTCCCTCAGCGGCGTCGCCCCTCTCAGGCCCTCCTCCACTCTGCCGTCGCTACCGTCCAGTTGCGGCTCCGCCTGCCGTGGCACAGAGGGTGATATAAGTTGGTTTTTGAGGCGTTTCAAAAACTCGGGCCCTCCTCCACTCTGCCGGTCAGTCAACCGCGCGCCACGGGGCAAGCAATCAGTCAGTCACGTGCGACAGGGCAAGCGATAAATAAGTCACGCGCGACGTCTCGTCACGAGCAAACACGCGACGTGTCGTCACGAGCACACATGGTGACAATTCGGACAGTTTCCAAGTGGCATGGACGCGGTTCTGGGCGGAAGAAAGGGAGAAGCTCACGAGTTTGAGTTTGACTTGTTCCCCGCGTACCTGAAACGGCTCAGAGGCAGCGGCGGGGGTATGGATGGTGTCGTCTAGGCTCTGCAACTCCGCCTCGATCGTCACCGCGTGCTCCAGCAGCCCGGGCGACTTCACGAATGTTATTATCCTGTGGAAGGTGCAGACACAGACACGGTGACAGATGAGTATAACGAGCTGTTTCGGGGCAGCCCGGGTGACTTCACAAACGTTACGGTCGTAGCAACGCAAGAAACTATCCTTCTCATCCAAAACCTCCAATGCAACCAAAGGGTATCTTAGCCTCGAGAATGTAAGCATGCCAAGGGTGGGAGGAAAAGAGGGAAACAGGGGGGAAGGGTGGGGGAGGAGGAGAGGCAGCGGGGAAAAGAAGCTGACCTCTCAACGGTTTTCAGGGTGAACCAGCCGAGAAGCGTGTCCTCCTCTGCTTGATCCTCCTCCGTTGCTGCTGCTGCTAGCGGATGTTTTAGCCGCTGGCGATCTAGAAACTCGCGACATTCGCGCGGGTCGAGCTTAATCAGGTGCGCGCCGCTCTTGAATTGGTCGTCCACGGCCTTGATGTGCGACGCGAAGGGACGGATTAGTCCAGTGGACACGATAGTGGCTTCTCCGTTGCAAGATATGGCCACGTCGCATCTGCATCGGGACAGGATTGCATGCGGAGACAGCAGGATGAATGACAGGGACAATTATTATAATCGAGAAGAGGAAAACCAACGCATAGGTGATCTAGTAGCAGGATGATCCTATTGCATGACGAGCCATTCTTTGGCTCATGCTACTGAAAGCAGGATTAAGGATCGGAATTGACTGACCTGCTCTTGGTCGTGTTGAGTTGCAAAAGGACGTGGTCCAAGATGATCGAGTCTTCCATCGCGATCAGATTAATAATGGCTTTCCGTTATTTACTTCCTATGTCAGTTTGACTCTACTTGATTCTTTCCTCTCAAAAAACGACTTAAGAAAAAGCTTCTCGAAGTATATATATCATACTGCTAAAGGCCAGCCCGCCTTTCAGCACTAAAAGAACTCCAGTGCCCTCTTCAAGGCTCTCTAACACTATGAAACTTCGTAGGCTACTCGATGAGAGCCGTTTAATCTACATTATTGTTCCAAGGGAGAGGCCTGGACGAATGGCTCTCCTTCACACGATGAGAGACATGAAAAAAAGAGGTCGAAAAAAGGAGCTCAAGAATGAACTATCGAGACATGCCGAGTGCACAGTGCGAGATGCGCCAGCGGTAAGGAAGTATCGACTGCTACGAAGTGTGCCAGTTTCAATGAGGCGATTGAGAAGGCAAAGAGGTATGATGGCACTCCCAAAGATACAGTACAGTATGCTGAAATTGAGATCATCAACATCTGAGCCAAGCCGACGCGAGCATCTGGGCTGAGGCTACCCTTCCCAACGGGCATGAAATGTTGCCAGCTCCGTCGCTTCATCTCTTCAATTCCCCCCATGCTGGGATGCGATGCGACGCGCCCCCTACTTGTGACGGAGATTGAAGCTGGCATGGCATGGCACCATCATCGAACACAGGGCACGAAAATGTAGGGATGAGATGGGATGGGATGGGATGGGATGGGATGCCGGGGGAGATCATGTGATGGGTGTAAAACATGGGTTGGCGGGATGGTAGCATCCCCGGCAATGCAGTAATTTCCTACAGAAATCCTTGGGGCAGCGGAGACTCTATTGGAAAGGAGAAACCCGATTTCATGCCCAGAAATGCGTCGGTCTCGGCGCAAGCGCGACAGAACCTCAGTCGGGAGGACCGCCTGACCGAATGACAGGTGCACAAAGAATGGAAAGAAAAATGTCCCAGGTATGCACTCACATGTTCCAAACATAGGTGCCGAGTTTGATTTCCGAGGGAGTGAAATGGAGCGGCGGACCAGACCCGCAAGAGTCGGGTTGAAGTCGGCAGCACAAAAACAAATTGCTTCAAAACGACAACTTTCAGAAATGCTTCCAGCCGAAGCGCTCTGGTCTGATCAGCTACGACGCAGTCGGGGGCCATGGGCGGGAAAGAGCTTCGTCAGAGGTCGGCACCTCCATAATCGCTTGAGCGACGACGACCGACTCCGAACAACGCTGCGCAGAATTCGCCAGGCACTATGAACCGCGCTCTGCGACCAGTCAGTTCGCATAGATGGATTCCGCCCATAGCATGGACGGTGTGCGATGCAGGATGTGGCACTCGCTCCCGACTGTAGCGACAATCTCTGCGACTCCACTTCCAAGCCAAATGTGCGGCTCATTTTCAGAAAACAAGTTATTGGACCTGGTAGCGCTGTTACTGGAGGTAACGTAAATTCTACATTATTATCTAACTTGATCTCTTGTTACCCTATGAGGACTTTTTGGGTTCTTGGTCGGTGCTGAGCCATCCTGACCTTTATTCCCAGGTGGCCAAGATGTGAAACCAGGCCAGGCCAGAGGTCCAGAGCTTATGACTTTCACTTCATCTCTACATGCCTGCGCATGTGCAAAATCCTGGTGCACGAGGGAAGCTTCCTAGTGCACCAGCTCAATGTGTTCCATCCCATGCTCTCGGCACTCATCCACACGTCCTTATACAACCATGTGAAAAGCAGGGTCTAAGCACAGCTTCTAAATCTTTAAGACGGACTGGCTTTGTGAGAAAAGCGTCCATTCCTACACTTGCGCACTTGTCCCGTTCATGATTGAGCGCACTTGCCGTTAGTGCAATGATTAACGGTCTGCTTAGCGTCCTTGAAGGATTGAAGAAGTACATGTCGTTGCTGCTAACAACTGCACCATGCCCTGACTGCCTTCCAGAAGCTGAAGAATCGCCGCTGTTTGTGTCAGAAATCTCGCGAATCCTTCTAGTCGCCTCAAACCCATCCATTTCGGGCATGTGCACATCCTGCAAAAGAAATTCCAGGCAAGAGCAAGAGACGAGTGAGGGAGGAGTGAAACAACTGGTTACTGAACCAACCGCATGATCCCAAAGGACATCGAAGGTGGAAGACCCTGAACCACAGAAAAGGGACCACCGCAGACAAGGGTCCACCGCAGTTTGTATCGTAACAACCATAAAAAGGCAACAGTTGCATGTAGCTGAAACTGTATATCGTAGTTACCATAATTGCCCACCGCATCTCACCATGAAGATGACGTCATACTCCTTGGCTTGGCATGCTGCCACGGCCTTGACCCCATCCTCTGCGACGTCACAGGTGACCTGCAGGCTGCCCAGCAGCCTCACCACCACCATTTGGTTCACCAGATTGTCCTCCACCACCAGACACCTCAGCCCGGCAAACGATTGCAGCTCTACCGATGGAGAAGAGGAGCGCACCGCTGCCGCCGCTGCTACTAGAGAAAAGGACTCCCAAGAGGCCGAATGAGGCAATGCTGCCAATGATGCTGCTGATGGTGCTGCTGATGGTGCTGCCATTGGCGCTGCCAACAGTGCTGCTGATCGTGCCAACGGTGCTGCCAATGGTGCTGTCAATGGTGATGGGGGATAAGAGATTCTGGGTGCAAGACCGTGTGGAACCAATGCCGCCATAGTAGGTGGAATGGCAGGTGGAGCTGTGGATGAGGGCAGAGCGGAGAGCTCAGGTGAATTGGCAGGTGAAAGTGTGTATGCACCGCTGCCGCTACTGGCAGCGGCAGCTGGGAGCTGAGTGCACGGAGAGAGGAATGGAACGGAAGTGGCTGGATGTAGCCGGCTTGACAGATGGTTGTCAGGTACAGGGGAGTCACACGGAACAGGCATCTGTACTTTGCCTTCTCCCACGATCGCTCCTGCAGTCCCACCTGCCCCACCTGCCCCACCTGCCCCAACTGCCCCACCTGTCCCACCTGCAGCTGCGACACTCCCTGTGACTCCACCACACTTAGCAACAGCACAAGTATCCGTAACCTCAGGGGAATTTAAGCAGGTCCCAGTGGGGAGAGTGAAGGGCAGGGCGAAGGAGAAGCAGGAGCCATGGCCTGGGCGGGAGGAGGCGGAGATAGTGCCCTTCATGAGCATCACGAGCGACCTGCAGATGGCCAAGCCCAGCCCCGTGCCCCCGTACCTCCTCGAGGTGGACTTGTCCGCCTGCAGGGTTTGAGGTTTAGGGGGTGAGGCAGCGGGAGAGAGTGTAAGGAAGCGGAAATGGTGCCTCCCATGAGCGCCACACAAGAGACCTGCAGATGGCAAGACCCAGCCCCGTGCCTCCGTCCCTCCTCGCGGTGGACTTGTCCGCCTGCAGGGGAAGAGGAAAGAGATGGAGGGAGAGGAGAAGAGCAGGGAGGAACGGAAAACGGAAGAGGAATGGGGCCAACCAGACAACCTCAGCGAGATGAAAGGGTTACTGGCAAAAGAGAAAACAAGGACGGAACTCGTTCGGTGTGCTTACACGAGTGAAGAAAGCGCGGGAGGAGATATACAGGCAGGGAAAACAAGGAATAAGATTAGGGGGTGATCGAAGTGAGGGCCATCAGCTGCGTGGCCGCACCTGTGTGAAAGGCTGGAACAACTTTGGCAGCATCTGCTGTGGAATGCCGATCCCAGTGTCTGTCACTTCAAAGCGCACTGTAATTGCCCGCGCCTTCTCCAGGGAAAGGGACCTGATCATCAAATTGCTATTCTCAGGAAGGCATGCAGATGCAGCTTGCTTCTCCGAGCTGGTTGCTCTGGCTATGTCTTCATGTTGTGACTTCCCTGCAGAGCCTTCAGCTGCAAGGTTAGCATCTGCTAATACAGGTGGGTGTGATTGCTCTTGCGGTGAAACAACAACCGCCGCTGCTGGTGATGGATCTGATGGATCTGATTGCTCCCGCGGCACACCTGCGGCAGGTGCCAGGCCAGCACTCAGCGCACTCAACTCTTGACACGCCTCAAAAGCCGTGCCTGCTGCTGCCATAGAGGGACTTGATTGCTCCTCCCGTGAAACCTCTGCTGCTGCTGGCCGACCTCGCTGCTCCTGTGAAACATCTGTTGCTGCTGACGGGCCTGATTGCTCCTCCTGTGGAACATCTGCATCAGCTGACGGCCCAGCACACACATGCTCGCAGCAACCTCCTTCACTTGGTACTCGTGCCTCGCCGTTTCTCTCTCTCTCCTCTGGCACATTGCCATGTTCTTGGAACCCGTTTCCAGCTCTAGAAGTCCCCATTCCTGCCATCTTTGCAGCACCTAGTCTTTCCAACGCCTGCTTCTGCAAGGAATCACTCTTCTTTCCAAATTCGTATCCTGCCCTCTCGTCCCCCTTCCCCCCCTCCTCAGATCTCGCCCTCTTCTTCGCATCATCCTCTAATCCTGCCATCCCTTCACCCGTTCCCCATAACACTCTCTTTCGGCTGGGTTTTGTCGGAGATGCTTTGGGTTCTAGTGACGATGCACGAGGATTCGCTGACGCAGTTTCGGGCTCTGCTGAGGCTGCTCCTTGTTCTGCTGACAAGGCTTGTGGGTCAGCTTTCACTGCATCTGGCTGTGCTGACGCTGGTAGAATTTCAGCTGCTATTGACAGGCTCACACGCACTTTCACATGGCCCCTGTTGCAAGGAAAAGGGAACACGGGTTGTTAATATGTATCAGCAAGCACGTGGAGTTGAATTCAACAAAAAACACCTGAGAATGAAGAATCCTTATGTTTCCATTCACGACATGCACATCTCTTCTGTCCTGCACTCTGACTGCCCAGCCTGACGTGCCCGAGAGGAAACGCATGCCTCGACTCGACAGGTCAAGCGCTTACCTGGAAGTGAACTTGATGGCGTTGGAGAGGAGATTCAGCAGCACCTGGCGCAGCCTGCTGGGGTCCCCAACCACAAGCGAGGGCACGGCTGGATCCACGTCAACGAGGAGCTGAATGCAGGGCGGGCAGCATGGCATGTCCGTGCATGAGGAAAAGATAGGAGGAGACATGTACGTAGTAAGAGGGAGGGGTGGGCGGAGACGTGTGAAGGGTAAGAAAGGGAGAAGGGAAGAGACCTGTGCATGTCAAAAAAAAGGAGGAGACGGACTGGCACAAGTGTGAGAATCATGTGAGGGCGGAACAGGAGAAGCAATTGTGGCAGCAGAGGAATGAGATGCAGCAGGGGATGGGGTGAATCCTTCAAGAAACAGGAAGCACAGAAAGGGGGGAGGGAGATCCAGGGCTGCGAGCGAGACAGAGAGCAGAGCACACACCTGGATGCCCTTTTGCAGCACGAGCACATGCACGGTCGATTCCGCTTCAGCCACCACAGCCCGCAGGTTGAACGGAACGGCCTCCAGCTGCAGCGAGTGCGCCTCCATCTTGCTTATATCCAGCACGTCCGATATGATCCTCAGCAGCGAGTCCCCCGACGTGCGGATTACCTGCATTGACGACAACAAACAAGCACCGACTGAGCCTCCATCTTGCTTCTATCCAGCACGCCTCATACACTTTTGAGTCGACACAAAAGCATCTTGCCAATATCCAGCACACCGGATATAATCCCCAGACAGTGAGTTCCCTGACAGCAAGCCCCCAGTGAATCACCTCGAGGAGCGACCGTTGCTCGTTGCTCAGCGGGGTTTGCAACAGCAGGTCTGCTACACCGATGACGCCATTCATGGGGGTGCGGATCTCGTGGCTGATTTTGGCGAGGAACTCGCTCTTGGACGCGTTGGCGCGCTCCGCGTTCTCCCGCGCCTTGAGCAGCGCCTGCTCGTGCTGCTTTATGTCTGTGAGGTCGTGCCAGACGGTCACAAAGTGGCTGCGCCCGTTGGCTTGCACGCACTGCCAGGTTAGCGTGTGGGGGAGGGGGGAAGCGTGTGGGGGAGGGAGGGGGGAAGCGTGTGGGGGAGGGAGGGATGGGGGGTGAGAAGGGAGGGGCAGGGTGGGGTGGGAGAGGTGTGCGTGCAGGGTGAGAGGGGTTGGGAGGGGTGTAGTGTAGTGTAGTGTAGGTGATTGAAATGAGAAGACAGAGACCCACGTAATCCAGTGCCCATGATCCCGCGCAACAAGCACACTTCAGGGACCATGCCCCAGACCACATCACACATGCCACACCCTGAACTCACGAACCTAGCGCACCTGAACTTTTACTAGGATCGGAATGAGGGTTTTATCCGACGCATAGTGCCACCACTCGCCAATGGCAGAGCCTCCTCCTGAGAGCACCGGGCGGCTGAACTGAGCCAACTTGTCGGCAGATCTTGTCCCGTCTGGCTGGAACTCGGGCGTCAGGCTGGCAACGTCTACCTTGCCTGCAATCTCGGATTTATCCTTGAATTTCAGGATCTTGACGGCTGCTTCGTTGCATTCCTGAATTACCATGTCGTCAGAAACGATGAAAACCGGGTCCTGAGGCAAGCAGGTTGAGGGATTGAGGCACGGAGGACACTCCATGCAACGGATTAAAGTAGATAAAAAGCATCACAAATGTGGTGGAAAGTGCCAGTTCTAGGATCCAACATGCAGCGTAACCCCAATTCTCACAGGCTTGATATCTATTCCATTGCACACATTCTCGTGAGCCTTACCATGGACATTTCAAATATTCTTCTGAACTTCTCATTCTCCTGCCCTGTCTTAAGAGTCTCTTCAACCAGTTTCAGCCGGTGCAGAAAGGTATCTGGGTTTTCAAACAATGACGGAGGATCAAACTCTCCAAATGATGCTCCGCAGAGCTTGAAGCACCTTCCGAGCCCTCCCAGTAGTTGCTCCTGTAACAGTTACAGTTAAGTTGGACAGACTACTAGAAGTGGTAAGGTCAGAAAGGAAACAGATCAGAGCAGCTTGCCTCACGAGGTATTCCTTATGCTTCATAAAAGGTAAAAAGGAAACAGGAAAAAAGAAGAACCGAGAGAGAGGTACAGTGAAAAAAAATACAGAGTACACACAATGTGCAGGCAGTGGTTTCGTCGCTACGTACTTCAGCAGTTTTCCGCGTGGAGATGTCATGGAACACGCAACAATATGACGAGACTGGCCCATCCGCGGAATTTGCTAGGACCGGTTTCATGGAGACATCGAACCATGCAGTGCCGCCATTGTGACATCTCAGGCGAAGCTCGAACGCTGCTTTTTGGAGAGCCTTCTTCAGTGCACTCTGTGGGAAATGAAACGGCAACACACGCTTGGATCAAGAGATCATGATTGGAGATTTTACTGATACAATCCAAGGGACGGCGCCTATATGGTACTCTCTAGGGGACACAGTGCACAGACACTCGGAGATGGATGTACGTGCCTGAAAACGGCTCCTGTGGTTGCAATCTATGATCTCTTCGAACGGACGATGGATGATATCGCACTGGTCATAACCAAGCGCTTTACAAAACGCCGAACTGCAGGAAAAAAAACAGTCAAGAATCTCTCAACGGTAAAACCGTGAAGAGTAATGTTGATGCATCGTTGCGAAATACTGGAGCACGTGCAGCAGCACACCTGCAATCTGTTATATCCCCGTGCGTAGATATAAGGGCGACGCAAGCTACATCTGAAAGCGCCGGCTGTTGTGAGTCACGCAATGCCATTTTATCCTTCCTGGTTATGGAGGAACCAGTCAAGAATCGCAGAGCAAAGGAACTGTTAATTCGCCAAGCAGTCAAGGACGGCCCGCCGGTTGAGAAGTGTCCAGCATCAAATCACAGAAAAGGGGTCAACCTGCCTCCCAAACCTTGGTGTACGATTCGCACTTCGGGTCATAAACACTGTGGAATACTTTCCTCCAGAGGAGGCTCGTTCTGTTGCCTGGGAATTGCTCGATCCTTGCTCGAAGGTCATTCATGGAGGGAGATACGACTTCCTCTTGATTTGATGCTGCCTGGGGATTCCATGCCGTAAGGGGTTGCTCTGCTCTGCCTTATCACTGCTGAATCTGATACAGCGACGCTCTGCTCAAGAACGACAAGCACCAGCCATTAATTACTGTGGAGAGGAGCTCGAGGTTGACAATGGAGGTAAGGGAGGTTGGAGCAGATAAATCTGCGCCGCTGATCGCTGCACACGTGGCTCAGTGCGGCATTCTGCGGTGGTTATGCCAACCAGGCCAAGTTGTGCCAATCAGGCCAACTTCAGGTGGTGCACGTCTTTGTTGTGAACCCTAGATTTCTCTGACGCTTCCCCTCCCCTCGTTCCGATGGGCAACCCAAACTGGCCCCGAGTTAGTTGAGGTTTGTTGGTTCGCGAGAGTACACGCCATAGAGTTCGCGCTCAGAACAGCGAAATGAAGTCTGAGGCCTATAAAACTAGAATATACACATTGCAAGTACTGGTATAAAAAAACTCACTCCAAGTCATCCTGCTCAGCAGCATGATCCTCACAACCACCTTGCAACAAACTACAAGGTTCAAGCACACTCAAAAGATGCTGTAACCTCACTGGCTTGGTCAAGAAGGCATCCATTCCAGCCTGGCCACATTGGTCACGATCATGCTGGAGGGCACTTGCTGTCAATGCTACGATCACGGGCCGGCTCAGGGAATGGTAAGGCTTGAAAAAACAGGTCATTTGAAAATCACTTCCCTTCCAGCACTCTGGGCAAATTCTGTTCACTGGATCATGCTTAAGCTGGCGGATTTGTTGCGTAGCCTCAAACCCATCCATCTTTGGCATGTGAACATCCTGCAAAATATTTCAAACATAGGTAACATGAGAACAATGAAAGCAAATACGCCAGCCTCTTTGCATGACTAATCCATGACAAATCAAGCCATCATTGCCCCCATCCCCCCTCTTCCCCTTCCCCTCGCCCCCATCTCCCCCACCTCTTTAACCTCCAGCTCTCCAGATATAGACCAGCTGACAGACTCATCATGAAGATGACGTCATACTCCTTGGCTTGGCATGCTTCCACCGCCTTGACCCCATCCTCTGCCACGTCACAGGTGACCTGCAGGCTGCCCAGCAGCCTCACCACCACCATTCAGTTCACCGGATTGTCCTCCACCACCAGACACCTCAGCCCTGCAAACGAGCGCAGCTCTACCAAAGGAGACGGGGACTCCAGGGAGGTTGAATGGGGTATTGAGACATGCAGGGGAGGAAGGTGCACTGATGCTTCTGGAAGTCCAGGAACAAAATTGTTCCTTCCTGAGGTGAGCATCCGAGGAGAAATCTCTGGTGGTGGGCCTGAAGCTGTCTCTGGTACTCGAAATGGCAGTGTGAAGGAGAACGTTGAGCCTTGACCAAGTGTGGACGAGATTGATATTTTACCGCCCATGAGGGTCACAAGGGACTGGCAGATAGCTAGGCCCAGCCCTGTGCCTCCGTACTTCCTTGAGGTTGACTCATCTGCCTGTAAAAACAATTCGATATGTATTAACAACAATTGTTTTAATAGAACACTTCAAACTGCCAAAATCCAGCCATATTATTGTGCACATACCTGTGTGAACGGTTGAAAAAGCTTCGGAATCATGTCCTCAGATATTCCAATTCCAGTGTCAGACACCTCAAACTGAATGAGAGAGATCGTGGGGTCACTTCTCTGCGTAGAATCCTTAGCATCACCCAGTAACCTGATCCGCTTTCCAGGCTCCTTACCCTCCGCCCCTGTCATTGTCACAAGAAGAAACAATTAGGACAAATTCACCACTAAATCCTTCCTTGTAGATTCAAAGTTCCTTACTGGATGAAGTGCATGGTGACAGACGGGGATGGACTGTCAGCGAATCCTTGGGGTCCTTGATAAAGGCTCGTAGATCGATTCTGCCACTGTTGACAAATGGAAGTCAATATTGCCACAAAGAAAGAAAAACAAAACAAAAGAAAACAAACACACACACACACACACTGAAGCAACGTCTCCCAATCTTAATACCTCTCGGTGAATTTGATTGCATTGGAAAGCAGGTTGAGCAAAATTTGGCGAATCCTGGTAGGGTCTCCAATGACCTCCGAAGGAAGGGCATCCTCGACAAAAGCGTTGAGCTGTTGACATTGCAGAAGAAAGAAACAGTTGGAGGAATAATCGTGGTTGAGAAAAAAAATACTGGACAACAAGGAGTGCGGAAATGTGGCATACCTCTAGGTCCTTCTGCAGTGCTAACACCCGAACTGAGGACAGTGACTCCTCAATGGCTTCTCTGAGGCTGCAGGGTATGGATTCCAACGCTATGGAACGAGCCTCGATCTTGCTGATATCAAGCACATCAGAGATGATATTTAGAAGAGTCTCTCCTGATGAGCGAACCACCTCCAGGTATGATCGTTGCTCCTCTGTCAATTCGGTCCTTAGGAGCAGTTCAGTAACGCCAATCACGCCTGGCAGCATACTGAACATGAAGCATTATAAATGATGTAAGAATGTTGAATTCCTAAAAAGAAGGCATTCCAGGCGGATTCAAGAAACAATCACCAACCATTCATGGGTGTCCTGATTTCGTGGCTAATGTTAGCCAGAAACTGGCTCTTGGCTTGGCTAGCAGCCTCTGCAGCCTCCTTCGCTTTCTCTAACTCAGCCTCACGTCTCTTGATTTCAGTCAGGTCATGCCATACGCAGACCATATAGTTTTTCCCATTAGAAACGACATTCTGTAGCAATAAAACGAACACATTTGGTTAGGCCTGGAGAAAATAGACCAAGCCAAGCGACCATGATGCACAAGCATGTACCTGAACTTTCACAAGAACTGGAAAGAGCGTCCCCTCTGCATTGTAGTGCCACCATTCTCCCGTGACCGTTTCTCCAGCGAACAAAGGCTGGCAAAACTCCTGGAGCTTTTCTAGTGTCCTCGAGCCATCTGGCTGAAATTCTGGAGACACCATCGGCACCGTGAGCTTCTGTACAATCTCGGACATGTCGTTGAGCTTCAAAATGCGAAGAGCAGCCTCGTTACACTGATGTACCGTTGTGTCTTCTCCTATCAAGAATATCGGGTCCTGCTCAGGCAAGTGACGGTCACGCCACGCTTATGCTCTGACGTCCAGAAAAGTGAACCCATGACCAATTAAGCAAGAACTCACCATGGACATCTCAAATATCCGTCTAAATTTCTCGCTTTCCAACTCAGCCTCAAGGGCTAGTTTCAGTTGGGACACTGGCTCCCGAAGACCCTTGTCACTTGCTGCAGACGCTTTTTCCTGATATGCATTCGACCGTGAACTAGCAAGAGCGAAACACTCTTTGAGAGCATTCTGAGCAATATCCTGCGTAGAAACAGGGCTATGGTAAGTGCGCAGAGAAGAGTCATAACAGGCTCGTACAAAACGATTTCCTGACCTCGACTCTTCTCCATCGCGATATGTCGTGAAATATACAAACGAACTGTGACGGCTCGCCGTTACGTCCGCATCTTGTCAGCTTCGCTTCGAACCATGCGAAGTCGGCCAAGTGGCGAGAAATTCGCAGGTCAATACATGTTCTCTCTTGCGCCACCCCAAGTGCACTCTGCGTCATTAAACAACCTAATTAGAAAAGCTATTTCAGCGAACGAAACTGATATCGCTAAGGATGCTTTACCTGGACGCAATCCCTCTCATCTCCATGTACGAAGTTCAAGAAATTGTTGCCTACAGTTTCCTCCTCCGCCAAGCCTACTATCTCGCAAAAAGCAGGAGTGCAACCTAGAATTTTGCCGTCTGATGACAGAACTAATGCTGGAACGAGGCGTTCCATCCCAAGCAGCAACGGAGAATCTTGGATTGCCATCACACGCATCTTCGTCCGCTTCATGCAACTCAAAGCGAATTCGAGAGCTTTACCTACGACTATGAACAGGCCGCACGGCAGCTAAGTAGTCGTATGTTTGAAGAGGTGTCAAGAGAACGAAATGATCCCACTCCATTGCCAACGAGTTCCAGCTCCTTCAACCAAGATTACTCGGGTTTTGTTTACCCACTCAAGGCATGTCCCAAAAGATCTACGGTTGGCCTCGGTTTCGCACATTCAAATGGGGTGAAGATAAAGGACCGTTTTTAAGCGTGACACAAAGCCTTCAACCGTACTAATAATGTGTCAGGCATTGTGAATGCCAGTCTTGTTTGATCGGTGCTGGGCTGTGCTGGCTTCTCTTCCTCGCGTGTGGGTTGTTGGGTTGGGGGGAATCTCTCACACGGGTTGGGCTTGGACGGCGGCAGCAAGCGCTGTATTTTGGATCAGGTCAGCTTGTGAACTTTTCCAACATGCTTCCCAACGGAGCTGACAGCCCAGACTGGCGGCATTACCGATCGCTTGCTCCTAGTAAAGTCAACAACGGTCTGCCCGACGGGCTGAACTTTTTGAGGATGCTTCCATCCAACCCATTGGCACCAACTTGTGGAGGAGAATCCATCAATACAGTACAGAGGCACCAAACCCCAAGCGTGCAACACGGGCTGCATTCGATAAAAAGGCATTCGTCCAGAATCACGATTCCATAAACGTGGAACCTCTACAGAAGCAAGAGTGCAAAAAATGATGCACTCGACTAAAAAAGCTCAATGGAAATTGAGAACTCGGAAAACACCTTAGAACCGTTCGATTTGAGTTGATCGTGAGGTGTACAATACCTGAACAAATTTCCCGCCATCACTGGCACGGCTGTCAGGTGCCACCAATCAATGAGGCGGCTCCCGCGCAAAGACGCCAAAACCTGCTTTGCTCAAACTCGGCGATTTTCGGTAACTCTGCTCACGAAACAAGTGTCGTGCTCGGCAGGACGTGATCTTCCCCTGGCGAAGCAGAATCCTCTCGCCAACATCCAGCCATGCGAACTGACAACCAAAAGGTCCGCCGTGTTTGGCTAAGCAGCAGAAAGCAATTGCTCCACCCCGCTGAGATTCACACATTCACCCACCAGCCACCACCCCGCTGAGATTCGCACATTCACCCACCAGCCAGCAATTGCTCCCTTCTTGCTCCGTCCCTAGGAATTGCCACTATCGCCACCAGCCCATTCCAGTTCTTTCCCTGAACCTCGGAAATTCATCTCACACTCGTTTCCATGGCGTCGTCGCATTCTTTGAGTTTTTGGGCGGGTGACATCCTATTAGCCGTATCACCTTATTAAATTCTTAATACCGCCGTCTAGGGCTTGAACAGCGGGTCGTTCGACGGGAAGCACCGACCTCAATCGTATCATTCTTCATTATAGATCTTTATTCCGAGTCGGAAGAACCTTCGGACTTATCAATCGGTGCATATCTCCTTGATCGCTCGGAAGTAGATTCTCTCGTTTCGTACTCTGAGGCGAGGCGACTGCGTTGACGAAAGCAGTTAGACGTCCGCGACAGCTGTTACCTCGAAAAAGCGACGCTAGTAGTTTCCACCTGTCTCAACGATCTAGCCTTAGCAACTTGGAGTGAAAACGGACTGGAGCAGTAGGAGCGTGGTAGCGATTGGCTCTACTGGTTATATTGGAAAAAGGAGGAAGTCGAACCTTTGTTAAAGCTCCAGTGTACATTTGTCAGTAAGGTTGAGGGTTTTACAGTGTGACTCACAGTTTTGGGGCAACTTTTCAAGTTCCCAAGGATTTTGAACCCCTCCTTTCAAATGTATGCCAGAGCTATTGTAGCAGTTTTTTCAGGATGCTTGGTCTGGTAATGCTCGCCTTCACGATATCAATCACGTCTGCTCAAGCCGAGAAATTCCGCATTTTATTGAATCGCGTCCTGCTTACGGGAGACGTCGCGCCCTGGTTGGGAGTGCGGAACGGACGGAGCATCAAAGGAGTGTGGTGGTGATTAATTTCCTAGCTTCGCCGAATGACTAGAGTTGTCGCATCTTGGTGAATCGCAACGTCGCATCTTGCTGAATCGCAGCGCCGCATCTTGCTGAATCTCGTCTGGTCGACGCGAGATCGAGCTTTCAGCTATCAAGTGTCAGCGTCGTTCAATCGGACAGCAAAACGGAAGATGAGCCTTGACGCGAGACGGTCGACGAGTGACCGACGGCGAGCAGCGAACGACGACAGACGTACGACGACAGACGTACGACGAGCAGCGAACGACGACAGACGTACGACGAGCAGCGAACGACGACAGATGTACGACGAAAAGTGAACGACGACAGACGTACGACGAGCAGCGAACGGATGGCAAGCGACGGAAGATGAGAGATGGACGACTAGCAGCGAACGACGGGAGACGGAAGGCGTCGCGAGTGAGACGTCCGACCGAAACCGGCGACCAGCGAGCAACGACGCACGGCAAACGGCGCGCAACGAGTGCCGAGCGACACGCCTCCATGACCAGCGACGGACGAGAGCGTTGATGAAAAAGCTTTGCCGTTCGGCCACAGCTACTTCTCGTTAAGTGCTCCGAACTTCACTCCCGTTTCAGATTCGTTCTAAATTGTGTTGTCTTTCTGTGGGAGTGTGAGGGCTTGTGGCAATGGTGGGCCGTGGCACAAGGCAGCTGAGCGCATGTAGATAGAGTTGTAGGGGGTTAGAATAGAATGCATTCATCCTCATGCCCGCGTCCTCCTCCTCCTCAGTCCCCCCTTGCAAGCTCGCTCGCTGCCAAACTGCCACGGGCTGCCATCGCCACACTCCCTTCGCCTCCCACGCTCCTCCCAACCTCTCCCGTGCCGTGCTGCCATCTGCTTCAAGTTTCCCAATGCTCATAAATTTCCACGTAATGCTTGCTGCTTCATCATTCTAGCTTCATTTCCTGCGCTACGCCAATCTCTTTGCATTTCCTTCTCGCCGTGCCTTGTTCCCCATCCATCTTCTGGCCTCAGGTCGAATGGAGTGCAGGCGGAATTGCAACGAGCTGGGTGCGACGCGACGATGTGCAGAATGGTGACGCGACGGTGTGCGAAACGGCGACGAATTGAGTTGTGTGCGACATTGCGCGGAATGGCGAGTTGCTGGGCGGCGTCGGTGACGTGCGGAATGGCTAGTTGCTGCGTGCGACGGTGTGCGGAATGGTGATGCTGCTGCTTGCTGCTCCTCCCTCGGACGAGTCACTTTCAACCCCTACGGGCGACGGACGAGAGAGTCGGAGGAGAGGCTATGCCGTTCAGCCAGAGCGTTCAGCCACTGCCACTCCCGGTGAAGTGCTCCCAACTCCACTCCCGCTTCTCTTGTCTCGCTTTTGTTCGCGCACAATACAATTCCAAACCTTTTCGAAAATTGTGCGAGTGAGGGTGGGAGTGTGAGGGCGTGTGGCGATGGTGGATTAGAGTTGTAGGGGGTTAGAATAGAATGCATTCATTCTCATGCCCGCGTCCTCCTCCTCCTCAGTCCCCCCCTGCAAGCTCACTCGCCGCCAAACTACCTTGGGCTGCCATCGCCACACTCCCTTCGCCTCCCACGCTCCTCCCAACCGTGCCATGCCGTTCTGCTTTTGGCTCGTTTGCTTCCATGCTCTCCTGCACCTTCCCATGCTGCTTGCGTGCTCCAGTTCTTGTTGCATGCCTCCGTTTCCCCCCGTTCCTCCAACCTCCCCTCCCTGTGGCAGCAGAGGCAGCAGCAGCAGCAACCGGGAGCCAAACGCAGTGGGCAGTAGGGAGCTCGCTTTGCCCACCTTCCAGAGAGCTTGTGGCACAGCAGAGGGACCTTCCACAGCAGAGGGACCTTCCACAGCAGAGGGACCTTCCACAGCAGAGGGACCTTCCACTGCAGAGGGACCTTCCACAGCAGAGGGACCTTCCACTGCAGAGGGACCTTCCACAGCAGAGGGACCTTCCACAGCAGAGGGACCTTCCACAGCAGAGGGACCTTCCACTGCAGAGGGACCTTCCACAGCAGAGGGACCTTCCACTGCAGAGGGACCTTCCACAGCAGAGGGACCTTCCACAGCAGAGGGACCTTCCACAGCAGAGGGACCTTCCACAGCAGAGGGACCTTCCACTGCAGAGGGGCCTTCTACTGCAGGGAGGCAGCGCTTTTACCAGGGAGAGTATGGGGCTGGCCATGACCTATCGAGGTATGCCACTTTTTCCAGTTCTACACCCCTGAGTAGGTCGCAAACACCGCTCTCCACCCGTCCCATGCCAATTCTGCTCAACACTCCTACTTCCCGTCCTTCTTTTTTGTTTTCGTTGTATGCCT